TTTCATCATTCTGCTTCGTTCTGTCTCTATTCTCCCATCCTGCAGTGTTTGTTAACTTTTTCTTGTCAAAGTAGCTCCATCAGACCTAGTTATGTTTGGCTGTGATACCATCCTGGAGGGAGGGTTGCTGTCATCAACATATTCCATTATATATGATAAAGTTGGGCCTGATTTATAGTGTTTAGTCCTGTTTATTTCTTTAGCCTTTACTGTGATTTACTATATGTGCTCTTTTTTGTCCCCTGAGAGGAAAAATGGGTAAAACCTTGACTGAATAAATGCTTCTTTCCTAGACAGACCCCCTTATGAAGCTAAATTACAGTTACCTTTTGAACATAAAAATTATTGATGTATTAGTGCGGCAGGCTGCTCAGTGGTACAGTGGATAGCACTGCTGCCTTGCAGCAAGAAAGTTCTGGGTTCCATTCTCAGCCCAGGTCTTTCTGCATGGAGTTTGGATGTTCTCCCTGTGTATGCATGGGTTCTCTCAGGCTACTCTGGCTTCCTCCCACAGTCCAAAAGCATGACTGTTAGGTTAATTGGCTTCTCTAAATTCTTCCTAGGTGTGAGTGTGAATGGTTGTTTGTCCTGTTTGCCTCTATGTTGCCTTGCGATGGATTGGCGATCTGTTCAGGGTGTACCCCGACTCTTGCCCATTGACAGCTGGAGATAGGCACCAGCACCCCTCGCAACCCCACCTGGGATAAAGAGTGCCAGAAAATGTATGGATGGATGTAGTAGTACATCTATGTTCCTTTTGTGTGTCTGTCACTTTCTCCTTCAACCCACTCACTCTGAGCTTGGTTCTCCTGGAGTTGGACTCCACTGTCACTGCATGCACGCTTGGTGTAAGGGATTGCTGTAGAGCTAACAACACAATGCAGAGTAATGTCTACTGCCACTACATGCTCTTTAAGGAGGAGTGAGTCCTGCAAAGTCAATGGTTGGATTCAATCAGCTGGTTTTCCTTACAAAGAAAAAGTTTTACCAAAGTGACTGGATGATCTGATTGAATTATCTTGGTAAAGTGCTTTGAGATGACATGGTGTGAATTGATGCTATAAAAATAAACTAAATTGATAGTGGAACTAAATCAACCTGAGCCTAAACTCAATGCACAACCTACTTCAAACCTAAACGTTTGCAAAAAAAGAAGCGAGAACAATCAAAATGTCCTCACTTTGGTAAAACGGTCCTCAATTTGATGCCAGAACAGATGCACACACAAACTGCAGCAAGAAAGATTCAGCTAAGGGGAAGCAGCTAATTGCATGCGAGTCAGCATTGCTGGATTTCTGTCCACACTCACTGTAGCAACTCCAGAGAGATGACAGCAAGTTGGCAAGCCCTGCATGCTGGAGGCTCCTCTTATTCTCTCCTCCATCCCTCCAGCCTCTCAGGATTCCCTTGGTTAGATTACCCACTTCAATGTTTAGACTTTGTCGGGGTTTTTTTGCTGCAGCAGCAGCAGCACCACGCAAACTTCTATGGGTTTGTGAAGACAGATTTGTCACTCTTTGCGTGGGCCACATAAGGCTGGATGATGGGGGCGTGGGTGTTTGTTTCTGACACAGCTGGAAACGCTACCAACGATCCTATGACAACTTAATCCGCTGCGGTGGTACCTATTGCAGGGCTGAGCATATGAAAGCTCCTTCAAGACATGTTATGCTTGTGTGATTCATAGGTTAAGAAAGTGGGGATTTACTGTTTGATGACTCATGATGAGTCACAAATTATGAACAGATAGACAACATTAAGCTACTGTAGTGATTGTTAATTAAAAGATTAAAAAAAGACCATTCTTTAAAGCCACAAACAGACCATGACCTAAATTAGAAAAAGCGTATGGAAAACATACCTCACGCAGATATGCTTGCTTCCAAAAAAATTGTCTTCATTCAGCCTGTTATGTGAGACAGACCCTCAGTCCTTAATAGAACTGAAAATTAGACTAAACCTGACCACCTTTTTTACCTGATAGAAGCAGAAATGGGGTGCAAAACATGCAGCTGTTTGGGGGTAAGGAGAGAGTAGTAGAGAGCAGGCAAAAGGACTGGATGAATCACACACGTACACTGCAGCGGCTGAGGCTATAGCTGTGTCTTAGAGTACATGAGTCATGATTATCGTGCAGCTGCATGAGGCACAACTTTCCTTCCTTGAGGAGTACAGCCTTGGAAGGACCACATCAGGAATAAATGCTAACTAGATAGTGGCAGGAATTTCTTCTACTTCAGTCAGGCACAGATTTGGTGGTAACTCCAGTCTTATATCTCGACATATATTAGAAATAAGTACATTAATGTCTAAAATGTAAACCCACATGTCAGGGTAGGTAAATCTGAATGCTGAGGTGTGAAACTGTTCCAGATAGATCTCCCTTGAAATGAGGAAAGATACACCCTGCTGAGTGTGATTATAACATACTGGAGATTATAACTTTTCTGATACATTTTAAAGTACTAAAGTGGGAAGTTTCTTGTATAAGACTGATGAAAACTCTATCACCGCTTATTCTTTACAATCATTTGAACCAAGATACTTAAATTCAGGGAATAATCTTTAGTGTTTGGAAAACAAACAGGATTATTTATAACCCATTTTGACACTCTACAGCTAAAAATAATCTCATTATACTTTCGCTACCTGTCTTCTTTGATACAAGCTGTTTTATTCTCTATATTGCCTAAGAAATGCTGTTAAAGTAGAAACAATGTTAATATTAATTTAGTATATAAGACACTAAGTTAGAATCACTCTAAAAAGAACTTCTATACCCCTATTTAAAATGCCAAAAAGGTTTATTCATAGCAAGACGAGCTTTGATGTTTCACACTGTCTGGAAACACTTTTCTTGCCAGAAAAAGTATTTCCACATCTTGGAGCTTTTCACAATGTTTCACACTACAAATGAACCTGGTGTAATTTCTTCATTTTAAAGTTGAAGCAAGATTATGCTTTGTTTTTTTGTTTTTGTTTTGTTTTTTCAAATAAAAAGTCAGGAAAATGTGGTTTGTATTTGTAGGCATGGTGTTTCTAGAATGGATATATCAGGGGCAGGAGTATTGCAGTTTATTTAATTGGAATATAGTTTGTCTTTCATTGTTAAACTGTCAAAGAATGTTGGGATGTGAGTCGCAAAAAGTATTTTAATTCAAAGGGGGGCCCACCAAGAAAAGTCTGTGAAGCACTGATTTAATGTTTGAGACATAGAGCCAAATAGCCACTTTCAGCTTTGGAGCTGCAGGTTGCAGACCCCTGGTCTAATGGGTGAAAACTGGGATCCTATTGCACTACAGACAAAAAGTGCATTCCTTTAACCTTTAAATCATTGTTGAAATGGATCCATAAAGGTTAAAAAACAAAATTGGTCTGGTTTCTATCCAAGTGCATATCATGGTAAGAATTGATTTATTATTGAATCTTTAGTAAAGGTGCTACAACAGGTCTAGAGCTGTACATGTCTTACAAATTTCCTTATCTAATGAGTTATTGCAAAAGATAAAATTCTCTGTAAAATGGTGTTGTAAATATCCTTAGTCTGACTATGCTTTGATCCATGGCTTTGTATCTGTAGCTTAGCTGTGGTTTGGGTCAATGGTCTAGAAAGTGAACTTCCAGCATACAGCCAGTCTAATGTAGCTGTAGCACACAAGGTTTTGGCTGTTGGACCAAACATTTTGTTAGGTTCTTATCTAACTATAATACCTCTGCCCACAGGTTTCAACATAAGACTGTTTATGACTTCTTTATTACCTCTCTTTTCATAGAGACCAAATAACCGATTCCATGGGTTTTGCTGTTCTTGTCAAAATTGTGCTTTAACGAGAGGGCAGGATCTTTCTATAGTTTGCAAATGTGACATCAGTTTTACAAGATTAAGTACTGCTCACTATCATTGTTTCAGAACCTAAACCTTCCATCCAGTTTCATATAGTGTATTCCTAAACCTTCATATGTACACTTCATGTTATAACTTACATAAAATTACACTCTGGGTGACAATTTAACCATCTGCATTTGATAAATTAGCTTAGCCTCTGACAAATCACTGCAACAATTCTGCCTCTTTGGCTTACATTTGTCCACCACACTCCAAATGGTAAAGCTAGAAATCCTGCATCTGCTTTCAAAAACAGTACAACTGCATGCATTGGCTTTAGGGCTGTTAGCACATAAGCGTGTGCATTCTGTCATCAGACAAGCACAAATGCAAGAAAATCAACAGGATGGACACATTTAAGGCCTCCCTCCTTCAGATCTCCCCATTCCAGTCTGGATTACTTACATTTTGAAGGAAAATTAGATAAACACATAGTTCTACAACCAGCTTGACACAAAAGAGTGAATTATCCCCTCCCATTAAATTGATTTACTGCCAGCAAAACAAGCGATGATGGCCGAAACTCTCCGCTCCACCTTAAAAAGTAAAAGCTCACAGCGGACAGCTCCGCGGTGCTGAAACAGCTCCGAGCGACATCTGTACAGAGGCGGGAGGAGGAAGAGAGGGGGGGCAGCGGGCTATCTGCCGATACTTTAACGTTGGAAACCTCACACAGCACCACAGAGGACACCTCAAATGTTCTTTCCAGTGTCACATTGTGTAATCTCGGTGACGTTAGTGGGGAAAGGTTAGGCAAGTTGGCGTGCTTTTTACGTGAAAATGGCGGCCATGGCTGCTCACCCAGCCCACTGTAGTACAGGCTATACAGTCACAACAAAGTGCGGGGAAACTGCTGTCAGTGCCGCATTGTAAAACGAAACCATACCATAAAGATGAGACCCTTTTAGGTTTATATTTGAAAGATTGTGAGGGAAAGTTTTTTTTTTTTTTTTTTTTCTAGAGCTCTAGCATCAAGGCTGTGAGTTAGATGTCAGTGGAAAACATGACCCTCCACTTTCCCGCTGAGGGACAGGGGCAGACCTGATTACTGTAGCTTTACTCCCACCCCCTCCAAAAAAAGCCGCATTCTTTCCTTATATCTGCCCCTTCTTACTTTAACATAGTCTGCTCCTTAGCCTCCTCCTTCTTCTGTCGTTCCATGACACCGAGGATGATCTTCCTCTCCTCCTCGGTTAGGTGGCTGAGGTCCGGCATCTCCGGCATGGCGCCGGCCGCTGAGGGAGCAGCAGCGGCGGCAGCAGGGCCAGGGCCGCCCCGGGGCCCGTGTGGAGCAGACATCTTTTAAAAACGGTGGCTAAAAAATATAAAATAAAACAACTGTATAGATAAATAAACAACATTATGCCTATTGGTGTGGTAAATGTTCTAATCTGGTGGTCGGGTTTGGAGAGGGTACGCGCGGCATGACGTCTGACTAATCATCCACCTTTAAGGCTCATGATAATATAAGCATTAAAATGTCTATTTCTGGTTTTAACCAGCAGCTACAACTACAGTGTAAGATAGTAACATTCAAGCTGGTGCAGACTACTCCTTAACATTTCTATAAGGAAACACTGGATTAAGATTAGAAATAATCCCAGGTTTTAGGTTATAACCCGAGAAAGAGTTCAAAATGCAGAGTGTAAAAGAATAACTCTTGCCTTTTATTTAGCAGACATGGTCAATCCTGTCTAACCCATCGCTGCCATCCTTTAGAAGGCTTTCACACGCATGTTGCAATAGGAGATGTCCAGCGCGTCCTTGTTGGCTTTCCCTTTGGAGCCCCGAACCCCCCTCTGTCACTCTGTTTTGCTCGCTTTCCTCCAGTTTGGTAATTCTTGGAGATTTCTTAAATGCACAAACATGGATGCAATGACAGAGAGGAGGAGGGGGAGTGTGGAGGAGAGAGAGAGGACAGAAAAAAACCCAGCGAGAAAAGAGGCGGAGCGATGAGAAACGTAGAAACAAGAGAGGATGCGCTGGATGTTCATTGACAGCAGGCGGACAGTGGCTGCTAAAACACGGAATGGAGGAGCAGCTATGGAGAGTTAATGCATTTTTCATAAGCAGATGATGAGCACTGACAGAGGGACAGATGCGGACTGTGACCAGTGAGGGCGGTTGTAGCTGCAGGTGCTGCAGCGGTTCCGGTGTAGGTACCAGATTGACTCGGGATGCCAGATTGACTCGGGGGCCTGCCCCTTTTGAGATGCGTCAGAGCATCCGCCATCTTAAATGTGGCAAATCTGCAGTTTCTCAGTCACTTAAACAGTATCAGAGGGACTTTAATCTCTGAATATACTTTGTATTCGTAGTATTTTTGGTTTTGTAATATTACAAGTTTATTTTTTGTATCCCTTTAGCTTCATTCTCCTGAATTTATTCTCGTTACAAATGCAGACCGCGGGCTCAATGTAGTTTGTTTGAGTGGCATTGCCATAATGTCACGTCATCGGGAGGCGCAAGGCCCATGGCGAATTCGGTGACGTCATCAGAAGGCGCAGGGACCAAGGAGAATGTCTTCGTAAAATTGTCCGTTTACAAACAGCAATCCCGCTTTCGAATAAAACCTACACCCCGCTATAATTACTTTAGTAAGCTGTCCAGACCAATCAAAATGTTTTGCGCAATTGTGCAAACGTTAAAACAATTATGTATTGTGACGTCATCAAAAGGCGCAGGCCCCCGAGTCAATCTGGCAGCCCGAGTCAATCTGGTACCTACACCGGTCACTGCTTTTATAAGCGCTCCACGGTACCAGCGGGCTTTGCTGTCAGGTGATGGGATAGTTTCTGTGACGTTACATGAATGGAAACTACGCTCAATCGCACAAGGAACGACAGCTGCATTTTGTTTTATTTGTTTTTTCTTGTTTTCATTATGAAAACAAGTTGGTGCTGACTCACTCCGTGTTGGATTCATACTTTGAAGCACTGCAACATTCTTCTCGCCAAAACAAATTAAATGACTCCCTACAGTAGTTCATTCATGAGACTGATTTACCAAAACCAATTACAGTAGAAACTGGTTTGGAGTCCATCAGAAAGTTAATGAATTACAAAGTAACCAGTCTTATTAGGAACCGATGCAGGGGCGGATTTGCCACAAGGCAAGTTGCTTAGGGGCCCAAGTTTCTAGGGGCCCCATAAAACTCTGTTTACATGTATGATTAATACAACTATTACTTATTTTTGCACATTAATTGCAAACATAAAAAAACAAAAAAAATTTTATTGATAAAAATCCTTTCGCTAAAATGCCATCAGAACACTTATAAAGTGAGGCAATCCCTCACACTAAGCATGTTTTTAGCGACAGTGGAAAGGAAAAATTCCCTTCTAACAAGAAGAACCAGAGTCAGTTTGAGCGGGATTCTGTCCCTGAACCCCATCGAGGCTGACAGGGGTTCAAGGAAAGGCAGGGCACCCCCCACCCCCCTTCAGTGTCCACCACATTGGACAACATATTCTCATTATCAGTGCGTATGAAATCGTACGAAAAGTTATGCACACTATTTCGTACGTTTTGGACGTTTTTCCTCAAAAAACCACATCAGTGCGCATGCGCTGGCAGAAAGAAAAAAAAAGCAGATCCGCGGACGGACGTAAAACTGGGAAAAACAGTGCAATCATCACTTATTCATGTCTCTAACTACGTTGCTTGCTGTTTTATATCTTAGGGTTAGGGTCAGGGTTAGGGCTAATGGTAATTTATATTCTATATTCGTGAATGGTGCGTCAGATGGGCATGCGCATACGACGAAAAGAACGTCCAAAACGTACAAAATTACGGTGCATAACTTTTCGTACGATTTCATACGCAATCATAATGAGAATAGGTTGCATTGGATCAGTCCATTTGCTGCACACGTTGAGAAAGGTCCAAACAGACAGCAACAATGACCGGGTTATTTACTTTTGCCGTTGCCTTTTTGGAAATACAGGAAGAAGCAATCAGCTAAGTAAGCTTAGTGGTTGGAAAAATCTTTCATTCCTTTTGAGACAGCGTGAAAAGTCAGCAGAGTACAAAGCATAGAGAGAAAAACAATAGGAAAAGGGACAAACTGTAGAACAAATAATTTATGTCTATTAAATGTTTTATGTGTTGTCTTCTTCGTTCAGAGGGCCCCCTGACTGTCTTTGCCTAGGGCCCCAAATTTCCTAAATTCGCCCCTGCACCAAGGCACAAGTTTCTCACCTAAACCCTCAATTTCAAAAAGCTGTGTCATATTACATTCCTTTGTATGTGTGTTTATAAGTTAAAAATAGTGGGGGGTTTAGTTTTTATGTATATAGTGGGAAGAAAAAAAAACAAATTTAATTCAGTGGTTCCAATTCACAACACATGTCATGTAAATAAACTTTACAGAGACAGTTCAAGCAGATCATACTGGCACATTAATTCATAATTTTCTATCTAAATAAAACCAGTTAATTGCATCGCCTCATTGACTGGAACGCAATCCCTCACACTGAGCATGCTTGTAGCGACAGTGGAGAGTAAAAACTCCCTTTTAACAAGAAGAAACCTCCAGCAGAACCAGGCTCACTGTGAGCGCCCATCTGCTGAGGCCGACTGGAGTTCAAGGAGAGACAGGGCAAGCTTATTTAAACATCACACTTTAGTGGCAAGACAATTCAGAGTGTTATACATGAGAAAAAAAGAAGTACAGAAAAGTACATTGCAGTATAGAGGTATCACAGATCATTAAAAAGACTAAGTTAATCGTTTGGGATCAGCTGCAGCTGTGTGGTTTTTAGGCAGAACTATTAAGAGTAATCAGTGATCAATGCTACTTTAATCCTGGAGATGTTTTTTAGGTGATAAAAGGCCGACTTTGTTCCTGTCTTTATGAGCCTCTAAAGTAGGGGTGTGGAAAAATATGCTGGAGGGGGGGGCAAAAAAAACAGATTCCTGGAAGACCCTGGAAGAGGGTTTGATCACGCTCTTCATTCATAGCTGTTGGGATCCAGAGGCTTGTCCACCAGAGGGCACCGAGGATCCCTTCCTGAGGGCTTGTGTTCACCTACACACCTGTTTCCTGTTTCCTCGTCAGAGGACCTACTTAAGGAGGAGGAGACTGACACTTCCCTGCCAGAGTGTTTGCCAGTAATGGTTAGCAGAATCTGAGCCAGCCTGCCTGATCTAGACCCTGTTTTGTGAAACCTGTATGACCCTGTTTCTCCCTGTCCCTCAGATCCTGACTCGCCTGAAAACTATGGAGAGAGAAACCTCGGCTTGGAATCTGCCTGCCTGCACTCAGCCTCAGTCTCTGCCTCAGCCCTCTGCCTGCCGATAAGCCTCTGGACTCACAAGGTCCCCCCCCCCCACCTGCAGATCTGAATCCCTTCTCTCAGCCAGAAACCTGCCTGCCTGCACTCAGTCTCTGCCTTAGCCCTCAGCCCTCTGCATGCTGATAAGCCTCTGGACTCACAGGGTTCCCACCCCCTGCAGATCTGAATCCCTTCTGAGCAGTAATGATCCTCCTGTGACCGGACCGCAGAACCCAGAACCCGTGTTTTTTTTTTCACTTTGTACATTTTGTAATAAATCACTTAACTTTCCCCCTGTTTCTGAGTTGTTTCTGCATGTGGGTTTGGCACCTTAAACCCATCATGACAATAGCTATGGAAGAGGATTAGGTTCACTGAAGAAATAAAAAAAAATTAACTGATTTTTAAATATTATTTCAGTTTAATATGGGAAAAAAGTCAGAATTCTGAGATTAAAGTCAGAATGAAGAAAGAGAGAAGATTGATGGATGGATGTTCTTAAAGATGCATTTTTCTTTTTTTTTTGCCGGTATTTCACAATGTGAGGCAGCTTTGATTAAAAAAACATAAAAAGCAATACAGGCATCAGCTTACATTTTTTCTAACACATTCTTTTAAAAAGTTTCTTATTTTGATTGATGGAATTTTAACTGAAGGTTTTTTTTTTACACATTCAGTCACAGTGATGAAATCACCTAATTCCAGATAACTGATCATATTATGCCAGAGCAATAAAAAGTAAAAAAAAAAAAAAAAAAGTGTGTCAAGGCTTTAGTCATTTCTTATCTTTAAAATCAGAATAAACAAGGTGAACTATCTACAGAGAAACTTTAAAAACATCCAAACATTTGTTCTGGTGTGATTTCTGTTCTACAACCTTCACTCTAGCTACAGAGTTGTAACATTGATAGCATCTAAAGGATAATATTTTGAAATTGTACTGATAAAAATGTCTTTTAGGTATATTTAAACAGAGTACACAGTTTTCTAGAATTTTATTACAATAATGCAAATTGATTCATTTAAGAGATCAAAGAAAAGGGCGTGCTTCGATGGCGCGCATTATCCATGTATGGAGACCCGGGTTTGGATACGACCTGTAGTCTTCTGCTGCATGTTTCCTCCCCTCTCTCATAGCCCCTTTCCTGTCAGCTTCCTGTCCAAAAAAACAAGCAACTAGGGCTGCATAAACCCAAAAACAATTTAAAAGGAAGTAGCAGATTGTCTTTAGATTTTTTTTTTTTTTGCACCAACAAGTGTTGGTCATAAAGTTAGAATATCACAAAAAGTCGATTTATTTCAACAATTCAAATTCAAAAGTGAAAATTTTATATTATATTCATTTATAAAAAATAAAAAAAAAGACGTATATACTTTACATGTTTATGTCTTGTTAGTTTGCTGGTTATAACTGACAACCAATGAAAACCCCAAATTTCAGTATGTCAGAAAAATAAAATGTTGTCAAGTTGTTGAATATTGAAGATGACTCACTCTAATCAGCTGATTCACTCCAAACACCAAGGCCTTTAAATGGTCTATTGAGGGCAAGACACAAACAATAGTCTCTAAAGAGGATGGCTGTTCAGAGCTCTGTGTCCAAGCACAGTAATAGAGAGGGAAGGAAATGATGTGGTAGAAAAAGTGTAAAAGTAATGTGGATAACCAAACAGTGGGGAGGATTGGGAAACAACACCCATTCAAAATGTGGGGGAGGTTCGCAAAGAGTAGACTGCAGCTGAGGTCAGTGCTTCAAGAACAACCAGCCACAGACTGCATGACTGGATGTTCTCTGAAATCAAATTTTGAATTTCCTTTTGGAAATCAAGGTCCCCGAATCTGGAGGAGAGGACAGACAAAGAACCCACAATGCTTGAGATCCAGTGTGAAGTTTTCAGTCAGTGATGTTTGAGATGCCGTGTCATCTGCACTGGTTTAGATCACTGCATGCTTCCTGCTGCTCACCAATTTTATTGAGATGCAGATTTCATTTTCCAACATTACTTGGCACACAGTACTCAAGCTACCAGTACCTGGTTTAAGAACCATGGCATCAGTGTTCTTAATTAACCAGCAAACTAACACATAGGCTCTGTCCCAAACACTATATGAACTTTATAGTTGCCGCTCTATATAGTGATCGCCGCCCCCCGATGTGCAATCTTTGTCATTTGTCACTGCTGTCACAAGCCCCATGATGCTTTGCAGGGAGAGCTCTTGAAAAGCAATCTGGGACACATCTGCTCGTCTAGTGACCATGAATGATCACTACTTTTCAAGGAGCATTGTGGGAAATTTGAATCCACTACTTTTTTATCCATTAGATGTTCGAATGCTCATCTAAAATGGCATAACCACTATATAGTTCCCTAAATAGTGATTAGGGCGGACATTCGGACACAGCGGAAATGTTGTGATGAGGAACCTGTAATACACCACAGCAGGCTCTGCAGAAGGGCTGAATGGCTGATCGACTCCATGCCACGCCGCATTGCTGCAGTAATCCAGACTAAAGGAACTCTGAGGACTCAGTGCTGTACATGCTCATACTTTTAATTGGGCCAATTTTTTTCAATTCCTAAGTAGGCCTAGTATTCTAATTTTCCAAGATGCTGAAAATAGGGTGTTCTTAGTGGTCGATTGTCTCCAAAAAATATCTTCAAAATTAAAACACTTGAAATAGATCAGTGCGTAATGAATGAGTGTAATATACAAGTTTCACTTTCAGAACGAGATTACTGAAATAATCTTTTTCACAATATACTAATTAAGTAACCAGCACCTATAGCTATAAAATGCAACACTGCACAATATTCAAAGGTGGAAAAACTCAAACTTTACTTGACAATATGATGCTTTTGTGTTGATCAGATCCTTTTCTGATGTTCAATTTAGGATCAAAGCAGAATAAACCTTTTACTATTCACTGCCTTATTTTAATGTCATAATGAGGCTTAAATGACAGATTTTGGGACCTTTATTTTGAAAGCAACTAGAGCTGAGATTAATCAGTTTGATCAACTAATCAAAGTTTTTGTTTATGAAGATTGACATTTTGGAAAAATTTTGATTTTTTTCCAACAATCCACTCCTTAGGCTTCGATATCTTAATGGCAGAAGTTTATCACTTTTTGTTCATAGATGGGTACTCCAGGCTTAAAAACTAAACCACCGCGGGATACTAGAAGCTGCTAAGTTATATTTTCACTGTTTGTTTTGAAAGATTATTTTTCTTTACAGAATTTTAACAGCTTAAATTTCATTTCTCCTTAAGTAAAGTCACCTCCCTCAGTGTCATGGTTCTTCCCATTTGGGACTCTTTCATTTGTTTTCTGTTATTAGCTATTCGGTTTTGTTCTTTGGTTTATTTTCCATTATATTCAAGCAGTCTTTAGTTACTCTCTGTTGCCCCTTGTGCTTGTTTCCTTTACCCTTGCTTCCTTCTAGTTAGTTCCACTCATGCCTGCTCTGTATTCAGCTCATTAGCCCACCCTTCGTTCTGTTCCCTTTAAATACTTCACCTCTGCAGTTACTCATCTCTGGCTGTCCACGTTAATTTTGCCCCTTAAATTTCTTGGTTCTTGGTATTTGTTTTTCGGATTTTGCCTCAGTTTACTGATTAAATCTTCAAGACTCACCTTTGCCTCCTGATGTCTGCATTTGGGTCCTCAGGTAACCTCACAACCCATTGTCGACACCGAATGGTTGAAATAACAGCCATTTCTTAAAGCACTACAGTCATGGCCAAAAGTATTGAGAGTATGTGTGTATGTCAGATGTTGTCATCACATACAGAAATACAATTGCAATCATATTACGAGTAACAAAAGTTTTTAATGACAGAATGAGTTAATGCAGCAAGTCAATATTTGCAGTGTTGACCCCTCTTCTTTAAGACCTCTGCAATTCTCCCTGGCATGCTGACCAAATTCTGACTGATTACAGTCCATTCTACAATCAATGCTTGCATTTTGTCAGAATTCCTAGGTTTTCATTTGTCCACCCATCTCTTGATGATTGGCCACAAGTTTTCAATGGGATTAAGATCAGGGGAGTTTCCAGGCCATGGACCCAAAATCTCTATGTTTTGTTCTCTGAGCCCGTTAGATATCACCTTTGCTTTATGGCAAGGTGCTCCATTATGCTGGAAAAGGCATTGTTCATCGACAAACTGCTCTTGGACGGTTGGGAAAACTTGCTCTCGGAGGACATTCTGGTACCATTCTTTATTCATGGCTGTGTTTTTAGGTAAGACTGTGAGAGAGCCGACTCCCTTGGCTGAGAAGCAACCCCTCACATGAATGGTTTCAGAATGCTTTACAGTTGACCCAGTCCTCAGCAGACCACTTCCTGTACCTTTTGTAGAATATCAGTCTATCCCTGATGTTTTCCTGGAGTCTCCGCCTCACAGTCCATGCAGATGCACTCACACCTGCCTGCTGCCATTCCTGAGCAAGCTCTGCACTGCTGGTCACCCGATCCCCCAGCTGAAACACTTTCAAGAGACAGTCCTGGCACTTGCTGGTCTTTCTTGGGCCCCCTGGAGCCTTTTTGGCAACATAGAGACCTCTCTCCTTGAAGTTCTTGATGATGCGATAGATTGTTGACTGAGGTACAATCTTTCTAGCTAGGATTCTCTTTCCTGTGAGGCCATTTTTTTGCAGTGCAATGATGACTGCATTTGTTTCTTTAGAGATAACCATGGTTCACAGAAGAGAAACAATGATGCCAAGCACCAGCCTCTTTTTAAAGTGTCCAGTGGTGTCATTCTTACTTTCACATGACAGAAATGATCTCCAGTCCTGTCCTCTTCACCACCCACACCTGTGTTAATGGAGCAATCACTGAAACAATCTTAGCTGGTCCTGTTAAGGCAGGGCTGCAATGACGTTGAAATGTGTTTTGGAGGATGAATTTCATTTTCTAGGCAAATATTGACTTTCAATTAATTGCTGTTACGCTGATCACTCTTTATAACATTCTGGAGTATAAGCAAATTGCCGTTATAAAAACTAAAGCAGTAAATATTAACATTTAAATTATTCTTATAACTTTTGGCCATGACTGTACATTTGATTTGTATTTTTTTATTATGAAACAAAAAAAAAATAGGACTAATTGGCTTTGGTAGGAAAAAAAAGTGACATCTACCAGCCCTTAAAGCCACCTTTACTCCAGATAATAAAAGATAAACAGCAATTAATAGGAGGGGCATTAATAGGAGTGATAAACACGTTACTGAGGGTGCACTGACTGATCGGCATGGCGATCTTATCTACCAGGGTAAAAATCTTACACTTATCCCGTTAAATGTTTTATACTTTGTATTTATAAAACAGTTATTTAAAAAGCTTTTATTGTTTAATGTAGTTTTAAGGATAAAAGTGAAATATTTCATGTGTCTGACGATCTTACAGTAAGTGCAAAGCATGTCAGGCTTTTTAAACATCAGTAAATAGTCAGAAATCATTGCACTCTTAAATCATTAAACATACATTTGGAACAGATCCATTTAAACAAACTTTATTTGTTTTTATTTCCATTAGATACAAAACTCCACTGAAGTCTTAATTTTCAAGATTTAAACTCCGGACTTCATGAAACAGGAAGCCCTTAAAAAGGTCAAAGTCTAACTGGTTCATATATTTACAGTACAGCTTCATATTCAAATGACAGCCGGGCGTGAATCCTTGCAGGAGAAGATTCAGAGTCTTTCCGTAGGCATGAATGATCGTCGCTAAACAGAAGGCCCTATTTCACCACAGTGACAACATGCTTCTCCTTCTCAGACACCAGAGGGACGCTTCCTGGTTTGCTGTGCTTCCGGACGTTCATCTCCCTGAAAAACAACAACAGAGAAATCATGAATAACTCAAAGTGTAGGTGAGAACAATCAGGACGGGACAGAGAGAGGAGGGAGGGGGAAAGCAGAGCAAACAAAGAGGAGGACGGAGGAACAGATTGACTGTATGACTCTAGAGCTAACAGTTATATCACACCCTTTCTGAAACTAATGCATAAAGCGAAGATTTGAAAAATCACTGGCATCGCTGCGGCTGATGATACACTGGAGGGCAGGGCAGAAGCGGGAAAATCAATCCACCATCCGAGCTGTAAATGAGTATGTAATGCCTGTTGTGGCTACGTCATAGTGCTCCGTCCCATCTGTGAAATTTTCCATTAAGCCGGTGAAACTGCGTAGGTCACACCTTTCCCTGGAACGAGCCCAAACACCCGCCTCCCTTAAAGGAACGCAGAGGGGATTCCCATGATTTCTGCCACGCTGTTACAGAGTGAGAGGAACCGGATACGCACTTTCGACGGCGAGCCTCCTTCATGATCCTCAGCTCGTTCCTCTGGTGGTAGATGTTCTTGGGTAGATGTCTGTGGCGGGCGATGCGCTTGATCTGCGGGTGGTGCTGGAACTTCTCCTTTAGCTTCTGGCTGTAGTTAATGGCTGCCTTCTCTCTGGGGGCCAGCTGCATCAAACCAGAGAGAGAACAACAATCTGCATCAGCGGCCTTTTAAGTACAATTGTTTCCTTAGAAATTACTGAAATTCTCAGCGCCTTTTTTAAAAATCCGGTGAGATTAAATTAAAACTTTAATTTGATCAAGAAGTGACACTGACATGTGGCTGATTTCCTGACTTGAATCTTGCAGATACTTGGACGGTCATCACCAGGAAACCAGCAGAAAGAGGGTATCATAGCTTCAATACCAATAAATATTTGTCGATATATTAGGGCTGAAACGATTTATAGGATTAATCGATTACTGAAATAATCATCAACTAATTCAGTAATCGATAACTGGAGTATAGACTCTAAAACATGCCTTTAGCCGACAGAGTAACCCACTTAGAGTAGTAATTATACCAAAACAGTTTAAAAACATATTTAAAATGTATCATTTAAGATAAAAAAAAATAAAAAAAATAACTTTTTGTCCGTCAAAATGCTTAATCAGGAACTCTTCATCTGGTTTAATCTGTAAAATATCTAATTAAGGGAGCTTTAGCTGTCTGAATATTAATGGATTAATAGCAAAAACAATTTGCAGATGTGAAGTTTAGGGGAAACTGACTCTTGCGAAAGAATGTTCAAATTTATTTAACGTCGTCAGACAAAGAGATAGAGCTCCGACTGGGGCAAAGCTCAGTACATACATTTATACAGCAACTCCCAATACACACACTCCCTTGGAACTATCCCACCACTAAATAAAGAACTTTCTCACACACGAACATTTGGAGGCAAAATAACTTGAGTTGATCATGGGCCACTCTGTTAGGTTAATATGTCTTTCACTGGTCTGATGGATCTCCTTAAAAACAACGGTCCTCCCATTCATGCGATTACCCTTATCCCATCAACATTACCATAAATTTGACGGACAGATGACCGTTGATATATGATTGGCTGAATTTAGGTGTTCAGGCTGACATATAACTAACTGGCCTACATAAGATAATGAAGAAATAGAAATTTTCTAAATTTTGGGACAATATCGTCTGATAAAGATTGCATTTATATACATGTTTAAGCAAGAATTGTTTCACATTTAGGCTGCTTAGTGGTGCAGTGGGTAGCACAGGTTCGATTCCCAGCCCGGGGTCTTTCTGCATGGAGTTTGCATGTTTTCCCTGTGCATATGTGGGTTTTCTCCGGGTACTCCGGCTTCTCCCCACTGTCTAAAAGCATGAATGTTAGGTTAATTGGTTTCTCTAAATTCTCCTTAGTGAGTCATACTGAAAAACCTTAAAAAAAAAAAATCCACTGGACTTTGTTTCCAATCATGTCTTAAAATCTTCAAACCTTAGAAACATCCAGTGGATTGTTTTTTAAACTTTTTCAGAATGAGTATCACCTGGATGACTGAGAATCTTCACCAGCTCCTTAGTGAGTGTGTGCATGAATGGTTGTTTGTCCTGTTTGTCTCTGTGTTGCCCTGCGATAGACTGGCGACCTGTCCAGGGTGTACGCTGCCTCTCGCCTGTAGACAGCTGGAGATAGGCACCATCACCCCTCGCGACCCCGTTTGCGATAAAGCGTGTCAGAAAATAGATGGATGGATTTGACATTTAAATATGATTTCCCTACGACTATCTTATATTAAATAATATGTAATACTATTAAAGTAAAATAAATTATACTTTTTTGCTTGCAAAAATAATGGAACAACTTTAACTCCATACTAAATCTGCAGTTAGAAAGCAGTTGGAAATTGGTACTTTATGCTAAATAAAAATCAATTAAACATACAAAAGTTACAGCCAGAGTTCAACTCAGCAGGTATTTTTTTGTTATCATAAATACTGATACTAATAATTTTAGCTCAAAACATGTGCATTTAAAAACAAACCAATGCCTGATTAAAAAAAAGCAAAACCACCAGCTCAACAACATCCCTACCTCTGCTTGGCTCATAAAAGCCACCATCTGGCCCAACGTTTCTCCTCAGAGGCTTTTATTCTAATTAAAAGCAATGATTTGTCTCAGATTCAATTTGTGGGGAAAGAGTTGATAGATGCTGATCCTGTTGTACTAAACTAATCCCCCTGAACACAAAGATTATGAGACTCCTAAACACTATCAGAGGTCTGAAAAATTTGATTAGCAGAAAATGATGATCAAGGCCCCAATGATCCAAACCAGAAGCTGATCTAAGACCAATTAGGATCAGAGCAACTCTTTAGCTGCCTGCGCAGGAGAAAAGTTACCCACAACCACAGAACAGTTCAGTCATGGCTCATGGTTTGGGCCGTTAAATCTAATTTTCAAATTTCACAGAGTCTGTTTTATCATTAACGGATGGAGCCAAAATCTTTCGCAAAGTTTTGATTTCAGGAAGTCCAAGCCCATTTCTCAACGTGTACAGGTGCTGGTCATAAAATTAGAATATCATGAAAAAGTAGATTGATTTCAGTAATTCCATTTAAAAAGTGAAACTTGTATATTATATTCATACATTACATACAAACTCATATATTTCAGATGTTTATTTTGTTTAATTTTGATGATTACAAATGACAACAAATGAAAATCTCAAATTCATCATATCAGAAAATTAGAATATTGTGAAAAGGTTCAAAATTGATGGCCCCTGGTGCCACACTCTAATCAGCTAATTAACTCAAACCACCTGCAAAAGCCTTTAAATGGTCTTTCAGTCTAGTTCTATAGGCTACACAATCATGGGGAAGACTGCTGACTTGACAGTTGTCCAAAAGACGACCATCGACACCTTGCACAAGGAGGGCAAGACACAAAAGGTCATCGCTAAAGAGGCTGGCTGTTCACAGAGCTCAGTGTCCAAGCACATTAATAGAGAGGCGAAGGGAAGGAAAAGATGTGGTCGAAAAAAGTGTACAAGCAAGAGAGATAACCGCACCCTGGAGAGGATTGTGAAACAAAACCCATTCAAAAATGTGGGGGAGATTCACAAAGAGTGGACTGCAGCTGGAGTGAGTGCTTCAAGAACCACCACACACAGACGTATGAAAGACATGGGTTTCTGCTGTCGCATTCCTTGTGTCAAGCCACTCTTGAACCACAGACAGCGTCAGAAGCGTCTAAAGAGAAACAGGACTGGACTGCTGGTGAGTGGTCCAAAGTCATGTTCTCTGATGAAAGTAAATTTTGCATTTCCTTTGGAAATCAAGGTCCCAGAGTCTGGAGGAAAAGAAGAGAGGCACTTCATCCACGTTGCTTGAAGTCCAGTGTAAAGTTTCCACAGTCAGTGATGGTTTGGGGTGCCATGTCATCTGCTGGTGTTGGTCCATTGTGTTTTCTGAGGTCCAGGGTCAACGCAGCCACATACCAGGAAGTTTTAGAGCACTTCATGCTTCCTGCAGCTGACCAACTTTTTGGAGATGCAGATTTCATTTTCCAACAGGACTTGGCACCTGCACACAGTGCCAAAGCTACCAGTACCTGGTTGAAGGACCATGGTATCCCTGTTCTTAATTGGCCAGCAAACTCTCCTGACCTTAACCCCATAGAAAATCGATGGGGTATTGTGAAGAAGAAGATGCAATACACCAGACCCAACAATTCAGAAGAGCTAAAAGCCACTATTAGAGCAACCTGGGCTATCATAACACCTGAGCAGTGCCACAGACTGATCGACTCCATGCCACGCCGCATTGCTGCAGTAATACAGGCCAAAGGAGGCCCAACTAAATACTGAGTGCTGTACATGCTCATACTTTTCATGTTCATACTTTTCAGTTGGCCAACATTTCTATAAATCCTTTGTTTTTATTGGTCTTCAGTAATATTCTAATTTTCTGATATGATGAATTTGAGATTTTCATTTGTTGTCATTTGTAATCATCAAAATTAAACAAAATAAACATCTGAAATATATGAGTTTGTATGTAATGTATGAATATAATATACAAGTTTCACTTTTTAAATGGAATTACTGAAATCAATCTACTTTTTCATGATATTCTAATTTTATGACCAGCACCTGTACTTGTGCATTCTCATGTGCTCGTGTACTCGTGAAACGTCATCAGCCTCAGCACTAGTACTGTTCCAATTCACAAGAACAGAAGACCGAGAACAGACAAAGTCCCCGGATGTTGTTCTCTCCCGTGCCTCTTTACCCAGCATGCATCAGAGCAGACTTGTCAATTCTTGAGATTGACAGCTGTCCCAGCATGCACTGCGGCAGCAGCAGCTTCCAATGAAGCGCTCACAGAGCTCAGAGTATTAAGTTAAAGGTTCTCTTTTCTGTTGCTGTTCAATAAAAGTTTCAAGATAATTTGAGGCGAGAATATAATACTTTTAAGCATCACTATATGGCCCATTTACAGATTTAATGCGAAGTTTCCGAAGTTTATAAGATCGCGGCAACCAGCAGACCTCTGAGGCCAACGGCAGCCAGGTCTAATCCCAGCCCAGCAGCCCTCTCTCTGCATAGCTGTGTGTGAAGGACCGCTGGCTCTGATGGAGAGTTTTTTTTATTTTATCTGGCAAAATGTTTATTTGATTTGTGTTTATCTGACTGTGTTCATTATTATTCCCCCAATAAATTAAAAAATAATTTATTATCTAACAACTATTCATAACAAGAGGAGAAATGCAGCTCCAGATGAGCTGAGTGTGTGGTGACGTCACAAGTACACTTCAGTTCCAACTGACCCATATTAATGCTGCGTGCTCCCGTTCTCCAAGTCCACGCTTTCCTGTGTTCTTCTCAAAAACATATTTGGCGAGGACACAAGTCCGTTCGAGCGTTCTTGTGAATTGAGAAACGGCAAAAAAGAGGTTCCAGGTGCTGTTTGTTCCTCTTTTCAACAGAACTGTTACCTCCAGAGCAGAGCTTGCTCAGCATTGGCAGTAGGTCATCAGCTCTTTGAAAACAGAGCCGGTTTCCTCTCTGCTCTCTTTGCTCTGAATGGAAAACGGGGCTTAGAAAAGCAGGGAGAGACTAACGCAAGCTTTCACTGCTGCCCTGGGACAGTAACCCCAAAATCCCACATCCTCCGTGACCGCCCCTCTATGGTTCCTCCCATCTTGCTTTGCTCCAACTTCCTTGGAGCTCAAGCATGCACAATATTACTGTTATCAAACTCGTAGGAGCAAAACTCGCGGAAATGAACGCTTAATTTAATATGACATATTAAAAAAATCTCCATTAGCATCCACCAGATGTGCAGTTTCTGCCCAAATATTTTCTTTTAGTTGTAGATTTTTCTAAAAGGGATAATTAGGATCGTACAAAATTGGTTTGCATGAACTATCATTGTTCTTTACTTCCACCTTAGCATCTCTTCATCCAGGCCTGCGATAAGAAGTTTGTTTTGAAGTAGATCTGTCTGACAATTCTTTTTCAAGAAAGCAAATAGATTGGTCTTAAGAGTCCCTAAATATTAGGGGGAGTATTGGCATTGTTGTTGCTATACGACAGCGGTCACCAACCTTTTTACAGCTGAGGGCTAATTCAGGGGCACTGAGTCACAGGAAGGGCTACCAATACTGACCTATGAATGGCAAGGGTCAACGTTCACCTAAACTTTATACATCATAAACATATCTTTATTGTTTCTTTAAATTTATAATTTTCTTTTAGACACTATCATTTTGAAATCTCTATAAATGATTAAATGCCATATATGATTAAATGATGAAATGTTCTATAACCCAATTAAAAAAAGAAGAGCAACAGAATACAGTGAAATTTCAAACATAGCTCACTGTTGAGTTGTTCTATTTTCAGAAGACTCTAAGGGCACCCCTTGTGGTCCTTGAGGGCCCCTTGGTGCCCGTGGGCACCATGTTGGTGACCCCTGCTATACGATATGGGTCAAGATACAGAATAAAATGGAAAAGAAAATGCCTTTATTGTCCCACAATGGGGAGATTCTGGTGTTTACAACAGCAAAAAGATTATAGAAAAAAAGGTCACAAATGTAGACCTTAAAAAAATTTATAAGAATAACATTGGGCTACCATCTAGCTGCTGTTTGACTGGGAGGGGCCATTTTGAATGGCTGCTACTGTAGCAGAAAATTTGCAAAATTAACCACACTGGTCTTTAGTTTTCCTTCATTACAAAGAGCACCGCTGCATCGCCACTAGTTAGCTTCATACATGAACCAGCTTCACAGCAATACGGACAAAAACCTGCAGCGTTGTTCTCGCAGTAGAAAGTAAATCTCAATATATTTCACATTAAAAGTTGCTTAAAGTTGGATTATGCTTAGAATAAGTGGACATTGTTGTAGCATTTTTTTTTTTCATTCTGAATGTGTGGAGACTTATTTTGCTGTGGCAGGACCCCCTGATTTATTACATGAAGCCTAAACCCTGAAGTTAGACCAAAAAAACAAAAAAAAAAAAAACGGGATTGTTTCTTTGGACTGTGACTCCTTTACTGTACAGGAGTCACCGTCCTGTGCGGCATGGAGACTTCCTGCATCATTTAAAACCTGATGGACCTGTCTACATTTAGCAGCTTTTAGCCTTTAACAAAAAATATAATAAAGGGTTTTCACATTACTTGAAATAAACAGACAAATTAAAGATACATATTTGGCCTTAAAGCTGTAGCCTCAGTCAGAACAGTCTGTCGGTCCAGAATGATCCCTTCAGGCACCAGCAAAGCTTTGATTCAGCATCTCCGCATCTCTTGATAATTAAAGACCCCATCCTCTCTGTATAACTTCCCTGTTAATGTTTCATTATGTTCAGAGTGGCCTCTGTTTAAGTGATTGGCCGATTTCAAAGTGCTGATAGGAGCAGCACTTGTCTGATCTATTTAAGTGCAAGGCCTGTGAATAACTCTTCCTTTGCACAGGGAAGGTAAAACAAGAGCCAAAAGCAGCCCATTTCCACTACTGCGCTGCATTAAGAGAATAATCTGATTAGGAGTGAAAGATGCTGCTGGAGATGGCCCACACATCATCTTCATAATTCAGCTGTAAGCTGGTATTTGAAGCAATAGAAAAGCCCAACAAGGCCCATGTTACCGCTTAGAATAAAATATCACAGTAAAGTAATAGTTTATGTTAATGTAAGCAGGAAAAGAAAAGCTACTAAATGTTTCTGAATTGTTGTCCTGAGTTCTTTTCAACAGGAGCCATCGTGCCAACTGGAATATTGCACTTATAGAGAGTGATTATAGCCTAAGTCAGCATCCATCAGAGCGTTTGGCAACAGCGGCGCAGTAGATCCAGGCAGAGCCGTCCCCTGTTACAGCACAGAGGTGGGCGGCGAGCCAAGGCGGGGCAGAAGAATGCAGCCAATTCATAAAACCAAATCAAGTCATAAACCGGAGGGAGATACAAGATATCTGACATCTGGGTGGGGAGGACGCAGCTGCTGATCAGCATGTAGACACCACCATTAGTAATGACCCTCACAGCCTGCCAACAGGAAATGGAGAGAAAATAAAAAAATAAAAAGGCACTCACCATTCCCAGTTTCTCAGCTGCGTTAGCCTTCCACAGTCGGATATTCATTTCATCCGACCCGCTCAGGATGTACCGGTTGTCTGCCGACCACTTGACGCAGATGACGTGCTGCATGCGTTTGGTGTGGTATACTTCTCTGTAAATTCATAACACACCAATAAATCCTCTAAAGCTTCAAACAAGACACGTTTTAAAGCAGAACAGATCGGTTCCGATTCAATCTGTTGAGGATAAACTGTTCATCACTGACCTGCTGTGTCCTGCGTCTTTAGGGAAGATGCGAATGGTCTTGTCGAAGCTAGCAGAAACAAACTCCTGTCCGGTTGGAGCGTAGTCCACGTCCAGCACGGCGGAGACGTGGTCCATGTGCACTTTGAAGGGCTTCTCCAGGTACCTCATGTCATATGTGTAAAGGCTGGGAAATACAAAATAAGCGGAGCTTTAGGAATGACGCTTCAATAGGAAGACAGATGTATAAGCTACCAAAATAATCTAACAATAAAAAAAAGAAACAGCAAGAAATTTGAATCCTTTCAACTAGTTAGCCAGACTGCCTTAACAGCAGTTTTTATAAATAAATTATTGACAACATTTAAGCTGCTTCATATCAAATACAATTCAACTAAAATATGAACAAAGTTAAAATACCCTCACACATAAAACCGTCTGTATCTCTTTTAAATAACACTTCAACACTCAGCCGACCCCGACACACTGCAAAAAGTTTCTCAGTTGTATAGTTTGCCAATTGAATGAGTATTTTTACTCTTAAAATAAGATCATTAGATAATATGCACTTGAAATAAGACAATGCATTTGTGTTTTCTTATTTTACATCTAAATTCTCTTGTTCTATTGTGAAAATGTCTTATCTCCCCAATTCAAGGACAAATGCACTTATTTTAAGAAAAAAATTACTTATCTAGATTTCATTTTTTCCCCAGTGTATTATCTAATTAAATATATAAATAATTCACTAATTATCATTTATGAGAGGCTCGGAGTAGAGCCACTCCTCCACATCGGAAGGAGTCAGCTGATGTTGTACGGACATCTTTTTCCGACTCTCCCTGGTACTCAGGTCATCCTCTTAGTACGTCCCACCAGGAGGAGTTCAGGGGACACCGTGGAGGGACTATGTCTCTCAGCCGGCCTGGGAGGGCCTCAGACTTCCCCCAGCAGAGTTGGAGGAGGTCTCTGCGAGAAGGAAGTCTAAAAGTCTAAGACTGCTGCCCCCCCATAAAGGGAAAGACGAGTACAAGAATATTCAATTGTCTTATTTCCGGGGTAAAGCACTCATTCCTTGGCAGATCATCGCATTTACCTACTCTAAGGCTAAATACACTTACTTTAAGAAGTTTTTACTAAATTTTAGTACCTTTGTAGTGTCAGTGCACGGTTAAAAGGCTTTCTGTTAGATTCAGATCTCGATTTTTTTCTAAAAAATAAAATACCGTACCCACTGGCCAAAAAAAAATAAAATAAATAAAACATTTGAACTCTTAAACAATTGGCTTTTAGTGACAGTGGGAGCGGCTCAATGACTCAAAGCAACCTGGGTTCAAACAGCCCAGCTCTGCTCAGCATACAGCGGGAACATCAGTTATTTTATTTAAAAATGTTAAACAAAGTCGGACATTTTATATCAGGACAATTCATTAATTAAACTAGTGATCATTAATATTACTATTAAGATTGCAGCTGCTTGGATGAACACCAAATATGCAAATATGTCACCTGAGATGGCAGCATGCAGCTTTGCTGCCATTACTTCTGTTGATTTCGATTTTAATTCACATTCTGTTTATTCATGAGCTGCATTTGTAGGGAAAATCGTGTTGGATTTGGAATAAAACTACAGGGCCTCAAACCGGCCTCAACCACATCTTTCAAGGCGAACAAGACAAAACTGAAATCCGAGGTGAACAATGTTTCAAAACGATTTGAATAAACTTTTAAGATTAATAATATTTGTTCCATAAAACTTCTTCATACAATAAAATAATTAGCAACTAGCTTCTTTATCACTGACCATCAAACAACCATTTATAGAATAAACAACAAGGTTTGGCACATATTTGTAATGGAAATGCAGAAGACAGATTGAATGCAGTTCTCCCTTAGACTCACTTATAGTCTTCATTTGCACATGTAAAAATATAGGCTTCCATCGGGTTCCAGCATAGTGTGTTAGGCCTCATGGTCATGATCACCTGAAAGGATAAACGTTTGATTTTAACCCTTCAACAATATGACTGTCATAAAAGACACAAGTAAGGGAAATAAAGATTTAGTGCACTGGAGGGATCTACCTTTTTAAGAGGTGTTGATTCCCTCATGTCGTATAAAACGATGCTTCTGTCAGAGGCACAGCTTCCGAGGAGTTCAGTCTGGGATTAGAAAACGGTTCACTTGGGATTAAACCAGCAGGCTTTGTGGGAAACTGCTCTGAAAGGAGTGGATATAGCAGGCGCCGTCTTACCTCCACGGGGTTAAAACGGAGAGAGCTGAAGCTGTCTACCCCCCAGGTGAAGGAGCGGATGGGGGTGCTCCTCTGCTCATCCCAGATGTCCACCTGCTGGCCACACGTTGCAAATACACCCTTCTTTAGGTGATGGTCCAGTCCTGTGAACACAGTCTGACAGGGATTCTTCTCTTTAGAAGAAGTCAAAGTAATAAATCAGTAATAATGAATAAAATTAAAAGATTGGTTACCTTGCCAAGGATAGTGTTAAGAGGCTCCTCCGCTTCTCCGTATCCCGGTGCTTCCATTTTCCATTGTTTTATTGTTTTATCATCACCAATCTGTGATGATCAAACATACGTCGTTATGCTGCTGGTAGATTTCTGTGTTGAGTGAAAGTGAGGTGATGAAGCAGGACTGTTTACCGTAAAGAAGGAAGTGCCGCAGTATCTGACAACCATTCCCCGGACGAAGCCCTCGTGCGCTTGGAGAGTACGAACACATTCATGTTTGGTGAGATTCCACACCTTCACCTGTGGAAAGGAAAACACTTACCGTATTTTCACGACTATAAGGCGCACTTAAACGTCATTTTTTCCCCTCAAAATGTGCGGTGCGCCCTTTGGTGCGGTGCGCCCTATGTGTGTTGTAACTGCGACTTTTGAGACCACCTCATTGAGGAGATGATGAAAGAGTGGCTGAGACCAGGTGTTTTTTTTTTCCACTCATCACCATCGCTGTTAATATGTAACTCCATGCGTGCCCATCTCACAGCTGATGTGAAAAACATGGGGAAACAAATTAACCCTGTGCTCGCTGTTCAACCGCTCGACATGGGTGTGAACCGGACCCAGCAGGTGCAGCAGAAGCAGCGAGTTTACATGCAAAGTCAATGGTTGACGCGAGTATAGGTGCAGCAAAAGGTCCTGCAGCGCGTTTTGAGCAGCACGCGCTGCTGCTGCTCGAGATGGAAAAATTGAAGTTTTGCTGCTGGACGCGCCGCATCAACCAATCAGAGAAGCTGATCTGGGAGCTGACAGCGAGACAGACACAGCGCTCTGATGACACATGATATTAACGCAAATGAAAAAGGCTGGATGGATGAGGAGATGATGAAAGCGTGGCTGAGGCAGGTGTATGTGAGGAGACCAGGCGCTTTTTTCCACGCATCACCATCGCTGCGTGCCCATCTCACAGCCGATGTGAAAAAAAAAGGTGAATCAAATGAACGCTGTGCTCGCCGTTATCCCGGGGGTCTGACAAAGGAACTTCAACCGCTCGACATCGGTATGAAGCGGCCGTTCAAAGTAAGGCTGCGAGCGGCGTGGGAGCGATGGATGACAGACGGAGACCACAGTTTCAGGAGAAGTGGAAGGCAGCGCCGGGCAAGTTACGCCTCCGTTTGCGGATGGATTGTTGATGCTTGGACTAACGTGTCTGCTGGCACTGTTGTTCAAGCTTTCGCAAAAGCCGGCATTATTTCTGAGGAGCCGCCCGGCACGGAAAGTGACTCTGACAGCGAAGAAGGGGAAACTGTCATGTCTGATTTAGTGCAGCTGTTTAATTCATAAACAGAGGATGATGACTTTGATGGGTTTGATTAATACTTTGTAATAAATACATGAATAAAGCACAAACATACTCAGTTTTGCTCCCGCTCTATTTTTCTACCTGAAAACTTAATTCAACAGCAGCCTCTGGGCGGGTCTCCTCCTCTTCACCGCGGTGGCTGGCAGGTGTTTTTTTCATCTAAATAATCTAAATCTTGCAGCTATATTTGCTGTGATCAGTGGGAATAAAGTAGTTTTAATATGTTTTTAAGTGAGAAAGGCCACCTGAAAACTTCTTAATTGCAGTCAGTTCATCCAGATTATCTATTTCTGTCGGAGGCGCTCAGACCCCCACATACCAGCGGTGCACCGACAGCAGAAATCCCTTCAACAGCAGCCTCACCGCGGCGGCTGGCAGGTGTTTTTCATCTAAATAATTTAAACTGCAGGCACCAGGATACAGGCAATAAAAGCGAACATATTCCGTCGGCAGGTTTCAGGATTTTAAGTTAATTTAGGAGTGATCACAGCGCTCTGTCATCTGCGATGTGTCTGTCTCATGGCCAGCTCGCAGGTTTGATAAATACTTTGTAAAAATACATGAATAAAGCACAGTCATACTCAGTTTTGCTCCCGCTGTATTTTTAAATACGCAGTAGAGGTATTTAAAGGTAGTAGAGGACATGTACCTGTATATAAAAAACGCGCCCTATAGTCCGGTGCGCCTTATGTGTGTGTTAAATACAGAAATGGCACACATAAATGAGACTGCGCCTTTTAGTACGGTGCGCCTTATGGTCGTGAAAATACGGTAAAAAGACTACAGCACTTAATCTGGGAGGGAATTTTGTTCATTATTGGTGAGAGCAAAGAACATGCTTGAAATAAAATAAAAAAAATAAATGCAATCCAGTAATAAAAGTTTAAGAAAAAACATTTTCATAGACAAAGTAAAAGTAACTTTGCTATGTTCTCAGATTTTTTTTTTTTTTTTTTTTACAGTTCAACCAGATCATACAGTCAAATTGATTCAAAGTTTTCTATCTAAGGAAAACCAGTTGATTGCATTGACTCATTGACTCAAATACAATCCCTCACACTAAGCATGCTTGTAGCGACAGTGGAGAGGAAAAGCTCCCTTTTAACAGGAAAAAACCTCCAGCAGAACCAGGCTCAGTGTGAGCGGCCATCTGCTGAGGCCGACTGGGGTTCAAGGAGACAGAGTCAGCATCACCGCTTGATAAATTTTTCTCAAATTTCCATTTACAAAATAAGTTCTTTGCCTGCAATAAAAGCTCAAACCGACAGGTTACCTCTCCATCACAGGAGCCAGAGAGCAGGGTTGAAAGACTCTTGGTGTGCTTGGCCAGACAGTTGACTCCATCTCTGTGACCGTCCAGGGAGGCCAGGAAAGGCTTGGCAAACACGCGCTCCAACTTGGTGGCATTCAGAGCCCTGGTGTATTCTCTGGTCACCTCAAACGGATGAAGGGAGGGGTCATAGTTTCTGGGGACTAGCAAAGGGAGTCAAAGGATGAGAGGCAGGCAACACGTATTCAGATCCTTTGAACTTCTAGTTTGGATTTTTTTCAAAAAAAAAATAGAAAGGATATACAATCTTTAAAGGTTGTTTTTTTTCTTTTTTTTATCATTTAATGAGCCACACCAACAGAAAAATAGCAAGAAACTTTGAAATATAAGACAATACATTTTTTTTTCAATAAATCTAAACCATATGCTGCACACTAGTGTGAGGAATCACCAATTTGATGCTTTACAGGAAAACTTTTTACTGCAGTTGCAGCTTTAATTGTTCCTTTATAAATATCTTTACATCCTTTGCAGATACAAACAATCCATTTTGGCTTCTTTTTCTTGCAGATCACTCTGGATGTAAACAGCTATTTAAAGCGATGCAATAGAATCTCACTTATTTGAGGACTTTCTTTGTAACACATAAACAGGCTGGGACCTAAAACACACACTGACTTAAAGTTTTGGGTAGGGGTGTAAATAATAATCGTTTTGTAACGATCCAACAGCCGACGATCCGATGCATCAAGAGTATCCATTCACGTTTTTTTCCCCCTCCATTTTTATCCATTTGCTCCCGGATGTAAATCTGACTCCCATGCTGCAGTGGCACTAAACCTATTTTGCCCTTCTACCTCGCTTCCTTTAGCCACTACCCTCTTTCCGCTTGCAGTATTTTTTGATGCAAGGCCTTTCACAATTATTGTTTTTCAGTGAATGAGGTTTTTATAGGCCTAGGTAGAGTACAACTTTGCTTCTTCTGTTAAATGCTGTTGTTTCTCAAATAAAATGCATAACAATATTACAGCTTGTATGGATTCATTTCAAATTTGAAACATTGTTCAGCCTGTAAGGTTAAAAAAATCAAATCGTATCGTGGTGTATTCTTGGGTATCGAAAATAATCAAATCGTTGGGTTGGAAATTGATACTGAATTGAATCGCCATGATGGGTGTAATTTCCACCCCCAGTTTTGGATCAGGGTCTTGTTGGAAACAGAATGTCAACCCTGGTAGAAACTTTTATCCAGAGTCCAGAGTGCCCACTGCTAGATCGCAATGTTTATAAATATTTATTTCACGTCATGTGCCCCATCCAATGCAGATCATTGATGCCATACACATCTAGTGAAAACTAATGTAATTGGATGAGTCATATAACGCAACACTATTTGGTTGACTAAAGGAAATCATCAGAAGCAAGCAGGTGTTCTTCAAACTGTAAACGTGAATTGTCTATGCCATGCTACAACGTGGGATTCAGAAAAATATGTTGAAATGTCTGAAAGATCGGACACAGGCGAGAGCGTATCGGGAGACGGAGACCAACAAGACCATCATCCTTGGCCCTATCTCAAAGAATTTTTCGAAATAGTCGAAAAATTGAGCTTTCTATTCATTTAGTTGCATCTGGCTGTTATTTATAAAGGTTACTTTATACTTTAAGTAGTTTTTGGAGAACATTCTTTTTCACATTTACTTGAGTAAAGAGGTCAAGTTGATATTTCAACTTAAGTAACAAATGTGTGTACTTTTGACTCAAATATTTATGATATATATAAAAGTGTTGCACCGATATCGATACAAGTATTGGTATCAATCCAGCACTATAATGGTGGTATCGGTATTGGCGAGTACCAACAAATAGGGCACCGATACCATTTTGAGAGCCAAAAGTTTATTCAACTATTGTCACCCACTCCAGGTAGGCAATAAAAAGTTCTACTGGATTCACTTTTATTAGTCTTTTTCCTGCTTCACTAAGGTAGGCAGCAGCTTGACAAAGCAATGATGGCAATTATTTTACATCCAAGTAGTATGCAGTTCTTCATATATACACACATGATACAAACAGATTGTATCGGTATCAGCCGATACTGCACAACCAGGTATTGGGGCCAAAAAATGGCATCGGTGCAACACTAATCAATACCTGATCAAAGTTCTTTCAAAATATTTACTGCATCTCCTAAATGGTCAGTGTCAAATTTCAAACTATATTTGTGTCAAACTTTCTAAAAAATATTTTTTTTTCCCATGCATGTTTTTAATAAATTCTTCCTCCAGAATCCCAAACCTGACCTTTTAAGCGAATGGCTTTGATTGGATAGATTCTCAGTTGTATCATGCTCATATTTTAATGGGATTGATTTATTTGGGGGTATCAAAGTAAAGGGAACTGATAAATTAATTAAATCAAATTAAAATAATTTTTATGTGTGAATTACCTTTAATTAAATCTTTTTTTTTTCCTTCCAATTTCACATTAAATCCCGACTTTGTGTCGGTTTGTCAGGTAAGAAAGGGGTTTCTGACATAAGCTGCAAGGAAAACAAACCAAGAATTGTTTGCTGAGGGAAGATGCTGAAGTAATTCTGTGATAAAAAAAAATAAATAAAGCACTGAACCTAAGCTGGAGTTCTATCATATACTTATATCGACAGTTACTGTTAAATACAGGATTTTTTTTTCATTAATTACAAAACAGAACAAAAAAAAAAAACGTTTAAGACAACACAATTTTAAGAAGCAGAATAAAGAAAATCGTATATTGTTTGCCTCTCAATTCAAAAAATTTAACGGATAATCTTTACATGATAAATACTTTATTTTATAAAAGCCCAACGTAAGCCAAATATAATAACTGTTCAATTATATTTAGATAAAATGCTCACAGTCTCTTGGTTGGATGTTTATGCTAAACTTAGCCTCCATTAGCACAGATTTACACACTTACCTCGTTGAATATCGTGTTTAGTTTCCCGGACATAATCATCCGGGTTCCTGGAGAGGACTTTAACTTTCATTTGATGGCCGAACCAAGAGCAATAAAAGCAAAAAGACGGTTATTTTTTATAGAAACTGGGTGTTAGCAAGGAAGATACAACCTAGCTGCCATGTGTTGATGGTGAAGAAGCAGGCAGGTCGGCGCGCTGCATTGTGGGATGTCTGGTCCTCCTAGTTACGTCACCGCAAAAAAAAAAAAAAAAAAGAAAAGGCAAGTTAGACACTTTAGATAGAGGAAAACCCGGAAATTCCTTCATTTTTTATTTATTTTTTATTGCAAACATAGAACATATGAACAAAACAGAACATTAATGATTATATATATATATATATATATATATATATATATATATATATATATATATATATATATATATATATATATATATATATATATATATATATATATATATATATATATATATATATATATATATATATATATATATATATAAGAAATTACTGTGTGTGCAGCTCTTAGTGGTATTTTTGGAAACTGAAGGAAGATTGCCACTACAAAAGATGAGAGGAAATGAAGACACAGGGTCAGGGATGCCAGCCTATTTACCCGGACCACCTGAAAGATTTTATTTTATTTTTACTTTATTTAAATCTGCATTGCTGATTTCGAGATGCCAAATATTTAAATGAGCAGAGCTGCCAAGTTTGATTAAATTACTAGAATGAGACTTTTGTGTCATGATGCGTAAGGCGGAAAAACAATTGGTGTTGATTGCAGGAAATTTCTCAGGGATGGCCAAACAGGGATGCACCAAAGGGATGCCACTGAAACCAGTCCTGTACCAGTATGAGTACATTTCTCCACGGTGAGATCAATAAAGCCAATCAATCAGTTGAGGGTAAACCTATACTGATCACAATCAACCTATATCTATATTTTCCAAATAAATCACTGAAGATGGAGCAGATTTCCATGAGGCTCTTGCTAATGTTTAAATTAATTTACATAATATATACATTACAATGGCTTGAGCTGTTGATTTTTTATCGTTAATTAAATAGAAAACCTCTTAATGATTGCAGATACAATTCATAAAAGTGTTAATAATTCTGTATTAGTCCTCTTTATTGTGATATATTGTAGTAAATAATTGATTGTTGTATTTTTGTCGGCTGCTTAGTAGAACAGTAGGTAGCACTGCTGCCTTACAGCAAGAAGGTTCCTGTTTCCCGGCACGGGTCTTTATGCATGGAGTTTGCATGTTCTCCTTTTGCAAACGTAGGTTCTCTCCGGGTACTCCGGCTTCCTCCCACCGTCCAAAAACATGACAGTTAGGTTAATTGGCTTCTGTAAATTCTCCTTAGGGGTGCTCGCCCGACAGCTGGAGACAGGCACCAGCAGCCCTCGCAAACCCGCTTGGGATAAGCGTGATGGAAAATGGATGGATGTATTTTTGTTAATTTTGGTTAATATAATAACTTTTAAAAATGTAAAAGTAGCACATTCTACATGATGGCATTATCAAAAGGGATCCACCCCTGCTTAACAATGTGTATTAAGTATCAACAGTATTACAAGGTTTAGCCAGAGAAATTATTATTATTATTATTATTATTATTATTATTATTATTATTATTATTATTATTATTATTATTATTATTATTGTTGTTATTATTATTATTGTTATTATTATTATTGTTATTATTATTATTTGTATTATTATTATTATTATTATTATTACAGGGTTTAGCATGGGACATGTTTAATGTTGTTGTAGGTGCCTTGATGATAGAGGCAAGGGGCTAATATATTTTCAAATATAAAAAAACATATATTTAATTGTGAAAATTAATTTTTGACTGTGTATAATTTTATGTAAAGAATATTAAGGTAAATGACATTTTATTTTATACCAGCAGGACCTGAATTATTTTGAAAGTCCATACCGGAAGTAGAACTCGGCACAAGCTAGCTTATCTAACAGGATCTTAACAAGGTCGCTGTGGAGGAGCGCTTTTTGACATTTAACCATGGCGCAGCTGTGTAGCTTTACCTCATGCTTGAAACGCGGTTCAGTCGCTGACCTGTAGTAGTTATGAGGGTTTTTATCTCGCCTTTTTTCCGTATTTAAAAGTCCGCCGGTTGCTTCAGTTTTACGCTTATTCGGTTGTTTTTTTAGCCCAGCTAGCTGCGGGGAAGCTAGCTAAGAGATTGTTGCCTTTCTGAGGACATGAGCTCCGCACCGAATCACGGTAACGTTACAGAGACAGCAGGACTGCCCAGCAAACATGTCTCTATAGGTGGACATGTCCAGCAGGTCTTCAGTCATGTTAAAATAGAAAACCTGGTGGCAGGACTGAGCGGCGGAGTGGTGTCCACCATGGTCCTTCACCCACTGGACCTGGTGAAGATCAGGTTTGCAGGTATCCAAAACCTGTTGTCAAGAAATAATCCAGCTTCCCTTAGATGTTTTATTATATTTTTTAAAAAATAATGAGGTAATTTGAATGTATTTTCTTCCACAGTTAGTGATGGACTGGAGCTGAGACCCAAATACAGTGGTATAATGCACTGTATGAGGAGTGTGTGGCATCAGGAGGGATTGAGGGGTCTCTACCAAGGGGTGACCCCTAACATTTGGGGCGCTGGTGCATCCTGGGGTCTCTACTTCTTCTTGTATGTCAACCAGCATGATGATGTTTTCACCAGAACAGTGACATTCACATCGATCTGTTGACATTTGGCTTCCTTTTATTCCCTGTCTTCCTCCCGCAGCTACAATGCAATCAAAGGCTACACGAAGGAAGGGCGTCAGGAGGAGCTAAGCCCAGCAGAGCATCTGGTATCAGCGGCTGAAGCTGGTCAGTTCTGACTTCTGCAAGCACACTTCCATAATCAGCACAAGGCCAACAGCAGCTAGGTGAAACTGCTCAGAACTGGATGCAGCTAATATGGGGCGGATGGCTTCTGCTCATCCATTGTTCCCCGGAGGTTACGCATTTGTTATTTGTGTTTAGAATAAAACATGGGGGCTTTAAAAACAAAGGTCTTCACCGGTTATTTATAAACAACAAGCTCCACAGAGGACTTTATCTGATCTGCAACAGAAAGCAAAGACTCTACTTCAGCTCAGGGGTATTTTATTACATGCATTTTCTATTGAAATATGTTTATCCTACAGACCCGCTGCTCAGTGAATCACTTGATCCCTCATATCAAATATAGAAATGACCTGGTACAATGATATAATTTAAGGTATTGTAGGTTATATGGTATTATTTCATATCTATGTTTAAAGTGAAAATATATTTGATATTTTTTGATGCAGCCAATAAATAATGTAAACGTATAATGTGAAAATCTAGGGAAAAATGGGAATGAGGATGCTTGTGGACTAGGATTTTAAAAACAGTAAATAGACTAGAGAGTCAATTTGAAAGGAACTTTTATTCAGATAAGTTGAGTGATAACTGAGAGGAAAAGTATGACACAACGAGAAAACTGAAAAAGCGACAGCTGAAACGTTCCTATTCTTTTTAGGCTGCTCCAAAATTCTTGATCATTTTAAAGATAAACCACAAAAGATCAAACAATTTTTCAGCAGATGCATCATGTTGATAGATACGTTTTTAAAGACAGTTTAGTGAGTCAGTCAGTTAGAAACGACTCCTGGATCAGTACACATGACATTGGTGCTGCTGGACCCATCACGACTAGTAGGAATATCCATTTATTTGCTTGTTTGGCATAGTATTGATAATTATTCTTATAAGGTCTTTTTCACTATTGAATTACATGAAATGTAATGTTCTGTAGCAAAGAGTGACAAAATGTTACAATGACTAAGCTATGATTCTCTGAGATCATGGCAGGTTTATAGCAGGTAATAATTGTTTTTTTTTTCTTTTTTTTGCAAGCTCTTCTAAGCTGATTAGTACAAGCAAGGAAATATTTTTGCAAAAAAAATAACCTGGATAATGAAATCCTGAGGCACCAAACTTTGGTAAAAAGGGGACAATAGAAAAAGAACAGAAAAGAAAAGCACCAAAATTGGCTCCTTTTCCTTCCTACCTGCTTCTCTTCCTTCTAGTTTAAGTTTTGCTTTTTCCATGCTTCATATATTAAATCCACCAGCTGTAGAGAAACCTGCAGAAACCTTGTAGTAACCTTTACTGCCTCTTTTTTTAAAAATAAGACTCTCTTTTTTGTGTTTTCTCTCCTCAGGCATCTTAACGCTCACCATAACCAACCCAATCTGGGTTACTAAGACCCGACTGGTCCTGCAGTACAGCGCCGACCCGACTAGCAAGCAGTATAGAGGGATGGTAGACGCCCTGGTGAAGATCTACCGCCATGAGGGGATTCCAGGACTTTACAGGGTCAGACATCAGTGTAATGTTGCATTTCAGGAATGTGTGACACATTCAGTCGGCGTACATTTTGTTTTTGTTGTTGTTGAAAAATCTGTTTTTTTTTTCTTGTTTGTTTTTGTTGGGTTTTTTTTAGGGCTGCAACAACGATTCGATAAAAATCGACTTTTAAAAGCGTTGGCAACGAATTTCATCATCGATTAGTTGTGTCGCGCGATTATTGCGTCATCCGCCGCGCCGTCATCACTGCCTCTTGACTGAAAGAGGAAGAAAAAAAAATACGGCAGAGCGAGTCAGCGCCGCAGGTGCAGTGTTGCCAACTCAGCGACTTTTCAGACCCCTCCAGCGACTATTTTTCAAAAAGGCGACTAGCGACAAATCTGGCGACTTTTTTCGGTGTCACTGGCGGCTTTTGGAGACTCTTAGTGAAAGCATGTATCATTCCTACTCTGCCGTGGGGCGCCTCCCCCACCCCAACCGCGTTTTCCCTCAGGAGTCCCTCTCAGCGCTGCAGTCAGAGCCTCAGCGTCCAGACTGCAAATGAAGCGCGCATGCACCGGGATTGACGGCGCAAATTGATCACAATAATTAAAATAGCCTGCGCTTTGTAAAGCGAAAAAAGTGATAACATGCAACTTTTTTCAAAAGAAATGAACATGGCACGGAACCACCATGTTTGTTTGGTTTTAAAGTGGGGAAACGTTACGTTAGTTTCTCAGGTAGCTCATCTGATGCTTTCCTTACCTTGTTAGTAGGTTACAGACAGTAATAAGGTTGGCTACTTATTTTACTTTTAATTTCATTTGAATTAGCTTAAGCAGCGTTTACATTTACTTTATAAATAAATTAACTTGCAAATTATGAGGGCAAGGCTTTTAAAGTTTAAATCTTCTGGCAAAGATAAAGTAAAGAAGATCCTGCAATTTATGAAAGTAAAGCAGAATAAAATCCAGCAAGATCAGTAATATGTCAATTAATTATCTGCCACATTTCCATGTAAATATCTGTCTTTGGAGGATGTGTTTTTTAGCACCCCTAGTTCTCTCATTTTTATTCCAAATACAATTTATAATTTGAATCACAGGGCTATTTTTATCTCTATGGTTCAGTATTTTCTCAAGCAGCAACTTTAACTGCTATACTTTCCTGTCTTAAAAGGCAGAACTCTTCTAGTCTAAAAAAAACTCATTTGTTGAAATGGGGGGACCTATTGTTTGAGCCCCTTAGGGGCTTTTAAAAACAAAAATGTCTTTTTTTTGCGCTTTATGAAACAAAGTATTCTATATTTTGTGGATGTACAGCTACATTTCTCATGTAAGTTTGCGTAGTTTTAACACAAACATTTATTTTTCATATTGCACCAGTACAGTTAATGAGCAACCTGTACTTGTGTGCTTGTTTGTTCTGTCTAAAATGTTTATTTTGGAATAAAGAGGTTAATATAAAAACATTTTTTTGTCTGATTCATCGATTAATCGAAAAAATAATCGTCCGATTCATCGATTTTTAAAATAATCGTTAGTTGCAGCCCTAGTTTTTTTTGCACAAAATCACTTGAATTACTTTCTCTGCAGTGAATAGCAATCACCACCAGGGGGTGTCATTGCTCCTTTTTTTTTTACTAATGGGAGTCATTTAAATAGTAATTTAGCTTCTTTGCTACAAATAAGTTATTATAAGTTTTTGTGGTGAAATGTTATTAAAGACACTCAAAGCAGTTGGTGAATCCCAGATAAACTGACATCCCATAATCTGCTGAACAGGGTTACGTTCCTGGTCTGTTTGGTACGTCTCATGGTGCTCTGCAGTTCATGGCCTACGAAGAGCTGAAGAGAGACTACAACAAATATAGGAGAGCTTCCTCTGATGCAAAGTTGGTGAGTTGAGACCTTTTAATGTGGAAAAATAAAAACTCTTTTGAATGAGTCAATAACTCTATGGAGTGGAGTGGGACCGTTTGCTGATGGAAATTTGGACAAAAAGAAGAGTTATTTGAAATATTTCTTGGTTTTAAAAAAAGATTTTGAGAGTAACAGTATTTTTTCTCAATTTTATCTTAAAAATTTTTTAAAGGTTTTATATTTCATAATTTTAGAATAGATTTTTATTGATCTCACAATGGAGAAATTCACTTGTGCCATCAGCTTTTATAAACAACAGGAGCTGCACTATTCAGATATATACAGTGGATGGTTTAAAAAAACAAAAGTCTAATTATTATTTTTCAGATATGTTTATCGAATAGCATTCTTTTCAAATATGTTTCACAGATCAGTCACCTCCTTTCTGGCTTTCCTCTGGAGTGAGGGAGGAAGGTGCGTTGCTATGGGGCCGCTGGGCGTTGGCAACAACATTTTTATTGAGTGTGATTCGAAGAGAACTTGATCAGAAAAAAACACAATTTTAAAAGAATGCAGTTCATAAAAGTTGGATCTAAAAAAATGGAAACAAAAAATAATTAAAATGTTGAAAATATAAAATTTATTTTTATAAAATATGAAAAATTTAGAAAAAAATGTATATCTGAAAAAAAGAAACTTGAAAAAATTTAATCCAAGAAACCAGAAAAGTTGGTATCAAAGCCTTATTTTGTTTAGAAAATGTTCAGTTTCCTTTCTAAGTTTAAATTTTCTTTTTTTTCCCCACTTATTAATCATGTTTTTTAAATTAATTTTTTCAAAAGTTCATTTACATAAGCTTTGCTTTCAGCAATAATCCACTGTCTCTACAAGCATGCTTAGTGTGAGGGATTGCATTCGAGTCAATGAGTCAATGCAATCAACTGGTTTTCCTTAGATAGAAAACTTTGAATCAATTTGACTGGATGATCTGGTTGAACTGTAATGTGCCTTGAGATGACATGTGTTGTTAATTGGCGCTATAGAAATAAACTAAATAGAATTTAATAATGGAACTAAATTGACTCCACATATCTACTACCTCTTTGTCTCTCTTGCTTTTATTCCCAGAATCCTCTGGAGTACATCACAATGGCAGCTCTATCCAAAATATTCGCTGTAGCCACAACGTACCCCTATCAGGTGGTGAGAGCTCGTCTGCAAGACCAGCACAACAGATACAGCGGCGTTGGCGATGTGGTCAGACGGACGTGGAGGTACGACGCTGGTCTGCAAACCGCCACGCACCTCTCTGGGATCGTTTTAATGTTTATTTTTATCTCTGCAGAAATGAAGGAGTTATGGGCTTCTACAAAGGCATCATCCCCAATCTAATCCGCGTCACCCCAGCCTGCTGCATCACTTTCGTGGTTTATGAAAACGTTTCCCGCTACCTTCTCGGGACTAAATGAATGAGACTCGGAGGCCAGGGTGGACAGCCACACGTGCCTCAGGCCCCTGCTGGAGCCACGTGAAGACAAAGAGGGGACTGTGTTCGGTCTGAGGCGCCCTCTTCAGCACGTGGAGAAGTGAGGAAAAAAGAAGAAGCAGAGCGACTAACGGCTGGATTAGTTTTTATTTCAGTTTCATTTCAGGTTTTCACTCAGTGACGCGTTATGAACAAGTCTCTGAGTAAAACGCACAGTTAGATCAAATGGAGGTTTTGTTTCAGGTGGCCTCTATGGAAGTGATGCTGCTGCTGCTCTGAAAATGTGACTGTTTTTCTTAAAGCAGAGGTTACCAGAACCTAATGGGGGGGGGGTTAGGAGTTTTACCACAGAGTAAGTTGTTTACAATGAAAGATGAAAAACAACAGACATTTAAAGCTTGATGATCAGCATCAAGGTCGTCTCAGGTCTCCAGTTTTATGCCTTTTTTTAAGTTAAAACGCTTCTCTATAAAGTCATCATTTGTTCTGATAAGACAAACTGCAAAAGTTTAGTTCCATGACGTTTTGTGAACACATTAAAATGTGTTATTTTGACCCATTCTAATTCTTGTCTATTACTCCTTGTTTCCTCAAAACTTCTCAGGTCAAATTTCCACAGGGATTAAAGTATTCCGGCCCCAGGCCAGATTTCCAGCTCGTAGCGATTGCTCGTGGGTAAAAACAATCTCTTGAAAATAAATTGACAGTAAATAAATAAAAAAAAAAGATTAGAAATCCCTTTCTAATAGAAATCCTTTTTTAGCCAATGGTGGTAAAGGAGTGCGCTGAAACTAACAGTATTAGCCAATCAGAAGAAGGTGGCTCTCATTTTTGCTCAAGTCGCCAGATTGTGGTACAGTGCTGAAGTTCTACACGTTCAATGGAGACTTTTAAAAGTCAAAAAATACATAAATGAAACTTCGCAGAGAAGGATGACACAGAGAACGAATTTCATGAAGTGTGCACAATGCAGTTCAAGAACTCTGGGGAAGATGTTACGACCATAGATACAGGTATGACTGGAGGAGACGGGAGAGATGGCAAGCCATTTAACAGCTGGTTGCAGGAAGTTAGGTGAACCAGACGCTCTCTTCTGCACGCTGTGCTTCAGGAACACATATTTACGCATCCAGCGGCAAAAAGATGCTACGCAAACATGAGTTAAACCCTAGTCATAAAGCTGCTGTTCATGCGGGCCTGCACACTACACGTTTTCCCGGGAGCTACGGCAACAGTTGACGTACCAGCGTCAACTGACCGTGTATGTGAGTTAAAAATAAGGGTTTGTGCTTTCATCGCCGAACACAGCGATTAGCTGCAAAACTGGATATCAAAAGAAATGTGGCTCATGCAAGTGGTAGATAAAGATACACTTTTGCCATCTTCTGGCTGTTTTTGGTATTGGATTTTCAATAGACAAATTTAGTATTCAATCATTAATGCACTCTCTGATCCTACACCTCCACAACCGCCTGGAGTTTCTTGCCTGTGTCGAAAAATTTGAGGCAAATTTTTTTTTTGCTTAATCTTGAGAAATTCCCAAGCCTATATGTGACTGGATAAACAGTTTAGGGCAGAAATGTTTACAATGGATTTACAGCCCATATTTATTAGGTTGCTGCCTTGCAGCAACAAGGTTCTGGGTTCGATTCCTGACCCGGGGACTTCTGCATGCAGTTTGCATGTTCTTCCTGAGCATGCGTGGGTTCTCTCCGGGTACTCCAGCTTCCTCATACAGTCCAAAAACATGACTGTTAGGTTAATTGGCTTCTCTAAATTCTCCTTAGGTGTGAGTGAATGGTTGTTTGTCCTGTGTGTCTCTGTGTTGCCCTGCGATGGACTGGTGCCCTGTCCAGGTGGACCCCGCCTCTCATGCATAGAAATCTGGAGATTAGCACCAGCAGCCCTTGCGACCCTAGCAGGGATGAAACGTGATGGAAAATGGATGGATGGATTTATTTGGCTTTGAATATGAAACCTGCAAAAGAACAACTGAATGGATTAAATAATGGATGATTTAACATGAATGAAAGATAAAGGAATAAGAAAAAATAAGAGTTGGATGAATAGGTACAATTAAAATACTAGACTGCTAATTTTTAGTTCCTAGTTTTCCAAACTTCTACCACTTAAACTTTACAGATAAAAATGTATTTTTATTGACAGAAATCATTCGTACAGTACATTTTAAGGACATTGGTTGCTGTTATTCGTTCATTTCTTCAAAGCAGAACAGTCTTCAGCAGACGTGTGTTCAAACAAAACAAAAACATTCAAATTACCATCAGCGCCTCCATGAGTGCCTCAGCCAGGCAACCTGCTCCTACACTACAAAGACCGGCTCCTCCCTTTCATATGACTCTCATTTAGGCAGTTCCTCAATGATAATCCTGGATACAGAATTCCAGCCTGTGGAAGCGTCTCCCCTGGGATAATCGGCGCAGGTCCCCACCCACACCGCCACATCCACCAACCCAGCTTTGATGCCCTCGCACAGCCCCTCAACTGGGAATGAAAACAAGAGCAGAGGACATTGCAAATGAATTTCAGGGAACAAACATAGAAAGCTGGAATAGTTCAACTCTTAAATTCTGGTTTTGTTTCCTGACACGCCGAAGCCATCCTAAACTTAAGTAGAGTGGCGTTTTAAAAGCTGAAAGCATCAGCTTCGCTCCACAGCAGCTGAACAAACAGGATTATCTGTGCATCCTTTGTGCAGAGATCAAACGCTCGAAAATTCCACTGCTTCTTTTTTTCCTGTTAACCTGCACTACTGCTCAAAAGTTTGGGGGCTAGAATTATTAGAAAACTGTTAAGTCGTTGTTGAGGCACAATAATTTTCTCCTTAATATTTTTCTTTCATCAAAGGATCCGACATCTGTAGCAATTAAAGCTTCGATGACCTTTGGCCTTCTAGCTGTCAGTTTGTTGAGGTAATTGGAAGAAATTTCACTTAATTCAAGCTGGTCCCAACAGAGTTGAGATCTGGTGACGATGCTGGGACAGAACACCAGCACTCTGCTTCATCCTGCACAGTTTAAAGAGACACTTTGGGTCATTGCCTTGTAGAACCAAACTGCTCAGATCAAGCGATGTCTACATGGTGTTTAAAAATGGAATAATAGCCTTTTTATTTAATATTTCCTTTATCTTATACAAAACTACCCTTAACCCTTTATAGGACACTCAGTGAAATACTTTGAAAATTAAAAATTTCAAGCCAATAGTGTTATTGGAATCCAGGACAAGACCTTATTACCTTTGGAACACTAAAAAAAAATGGATATTTTGATGCCAAAAATTAATGTCAATGTAATAACTACAAACGACAACTTTCCCGAATATATTAAGAAAAATAACAAAAGTGATTCTATATGAAATTCATGAAAAACTCTCTGAGTAAAATACATTTTTTCGGTACCTTAGAGGCATTAATGCTGATACTGGCGCTTACATTTTTTAGTTTATAAACCTAAATACAGCTGGGCTTAACTAGGCTTATTAACTTTTTAACTTTACTTTTTAAGTTTTTAATTAGCTTTTTACCTTTTTTCCTTGACTTGTTTTTTTTTTTTCAACTTAAATCACAGTAGATAATATATAATTTAATGGCTCATCTAATTGGTCAAATGCCAAAATAAGATGTACAGCCATGTAGCAGTATCTTTGCTGAATGGCGGGATATAGATCTTGTACTTCTAGACTTCACTGAGGGACAGGGGGGACGACTCCATTTGTAAGGTGGATGCAAGGAACAAAAATGCTAACTTGCCCCTATAAAGGGTTAACAGGCACCAAAACATCCCCAGACCATCATGTTTCCTCCACTGTGCCTGATAGATGGTACCAAGCACTCCTCTAGCATTTTCCATTTTTCCCTTCGTCCCATAGATGTTCTTTGTGAGATGCGATTTTATCTGATCGATGGTGTTAAACTCTTTATCAACTGTACCTTAAATGTTTTAAAGAAGCGGAAGCTGGAAAGTATGTATTTGTAAAGTAAACGGTAATTATGATATCAGTAATCAAACATTTGATGTTAAATAATATTGAAATGTTGCAATTTCAAGTAAAATAACCAGAGTTTCTGGTTATTCTCTGCGTTGAGTTTCGTGGTGCTTTGCTTAGAGTTATTTTCTTTGCAGGCTGAGTAAAAATAATTTTGGTAAAATCTATATAACACAGGTCCATTGGTAATATTTATATACCTATTAGTTTTTCTTGTTTTGTTGTTTAAAGGTTTTTTATTTTATTTTGGACTGTTTATAAAAAGAAACCGGTTTCCTGGCAAAGATAAATGGGACTTTAAAGAGGAAAACTGACTCTTGAGTGGAACCCAGTGAAAAGCTGCACAGATAAGAGGAGAACTTTACATCCACACACCTGAACCTTAGGTTAATCTGTCATAAAAAACCTTCCTATGCCAACTGCTTTTGCTCTGTTCTTTTGTTCTTTTGCAAATCTCCTTTGGCTGGTTAGTTCCAGCTGTGGCTTTTCAAGACAGCTAGCAGCCTGAATTCCCGTCTTCAATGATGTTGCACTTGAAATATTTGAAATCTAGATAAATCCTTTTTTCTAAAAATAAGTGCATTTGTTCTTGAATTTAGGAGTTAAGTGAGACACTTTGCCAATGGAACAAGACAATTTCCATTTAACATAAGAAAAAAAACCTGCATTGCCATATGTCAAGTGCATATTATCTGATTATCTCATTTTAAGAGTAAAAATGCTCATCCCATTGGCAAATCATCTTATCTACCTCCTCAAATCAAGGGTAAATACACTTAATTTAAGACATTTTTACTTATTTCTGAGGGTTTTTGCAGTGCGAGACTAGTGTTTTGCAGATACAAATTAATAAAGTTGCAGACTGAGGACATGTGAGGCGTCTGTTTCTCAAACTATCTGACCAATTTCAGTTTGCTTGTGTTAATGATAAATCTTCCTCATGCTCCAGGGTTCAAACCTGGGTTTGATTGGTGACAAAGCCATTCTAAAGCACATATCAAGGTGCTCATTTTGAGCCTGGATCCATGTTTATTTTTTATTCTGTTCATGGTGGAGGATCCTGCTTCACAGCAGCAGGTTGAGCCAAACATCCTCTAAATGTGCAGGGTCATCTTTGAGCACCATTTCACTTTTCTTTCTCCAGTTAACTGCAGTTCTTCCAGCAGCCCACACTTTATCTGTTCTCTTTTTCTCATCGTCTTCTCCTTCTTTCCCATCACCCGGCTTGCTACAGGTTTGCCTGCTGTGTCTAAAAGTAGCAGCAGCAGCAGCAACCCAGACTGACAGCAGCTCATTGGATAATTTGGATCAAGTGCAGCCTGGAAGCTTAAGAGGGGTTTACCATATTAACAGGAGAAGCGTCACAAGTGAAGTTAGACACTGTTGTCCGACAACATGCGATAATTTATAAATGTTTTAAATCAAGTTGGGTCCGAATCAGCCAGCAGGTGGGTCCGGATCCGGAACCCGCACCACTAATCCGTGGCCTCAGGCATACATTTTTCTAAGGTCTGTATTTGTGACCATTTCTTCTCTAATGTTCTTACTGCTATAAACCCCAGAATTTCCCCATTGTGGGACAATAAAGGGATTTTATGTTCTATTCTATTCTATTAATATTCTCTAAACTGCATTTCTAAATGATTTATTGTTATTTTGATTGCAGAAGTTTGTGTTGTTTTATTTAAAAATTAGGGCTTTTTTAAGTGATCCCAAACAGTATTGATTACAACTAGACTTGGTTCAAATGCACATTGCTAAGATGCATTTGATGCAGATCCGTCTCTACCCAATAAAAAGAATTTAGAAAAGAAAACAAACGTATTTTTCATCTTTGGAAAAGGGATGAGCTAATTCCTTATTAAATTCTTTCCAAGCTCAGACGTAGCAGCAAAGATCCCATTCATGATGCTTCCACTGCTGTGCTCCCACTTATGGAATACAGTCATCTTTTTTAAGGTGTAATGCTTCTGCATCATTATGAGCTGCACGATTTGAGCTCTTTTCTATTCAGCGTCTATTCTTTTATCAAAGTGGCAGTAGAGTTTCCCTCCTCTGTAGACAAATTTACAATAAAACAAACATCTGCAACCGGTGCAAGAACTTATTTAGTCCATTACAGGAGATCAGATTTTCTAGATACTAAATTCAGAAGGAAAAAAACTAAGATAGATGTAAATATCACCAGAAAGCATGTGGTAAAAGTCCACCGCCTAGTTAGCCGATGATGAGCCTCACCTGATGATGTTCTGTGGATGTTAATAGTGGAGTTGAGCTCCGGACTTCCTTGATCCAAGTAAATGATGGACTCCACTGGTAGGGGTCCTGTGCACTCGGCTCCATTGAAGGTGAAGTACCACCTCTGGCAGCACGCATTCTTGCACTTGAGTCGTAGGGAACCACTGAAGAGGACTCTGAGAGCGCTGTCTGAACGCAGCTTGGTGAACGTGCAGTCCTTCAACACAGCAGGAAACAGATTGTTGGTAAATCTGCAGCTTTTAGAGCGAAAACCCCTAAATCAACAGACTTTCTATACTAATGTAGAAGGTGTTAGATTTACTTTATAAATAAGAATTTTGCTTTAATCTGCAGAGCAATTTCATTGAACACCCCTGATTTTTCACATAAAACCTCAATAAACTGTATGATTGTTATGTTGGGGGGGAATAATGAAAACTTCAGGGGTGTAAATACTTTTGCACATCAAAAAAAATGAATGTGGGATTTCTGCATCATTAGAAACACGCAATCATACTCACTGCTATTTTACCCAGGTCGATCCCATAATTCAGAGAGTTCCAGGCACACTGCTTGTAGTTGGGTCTCCACGGCTCCTCAAAAATCTCACTGATGCATTCCCCTTTTTCCCCTTTGAGCCCGTCACGTCCTGGGATACCTGGAGTGCCTGGAATGCCATTGGCTCCGGGGTTACCATCTCTTCCAGGGGTTCCTGCTGGGCCTTGCATGCAGTTGCCATACTGGGAAAAAAAAGAAAAAAAAAAACAGCTGGATTTAATCATCATCATCATCATCATCAACTTTATTTATAGCTTTTTAAAACAGCTACAGCTGAAATCAAAGTGCTGAAAATATTAAAACACAATAAAATTATAAAATAAGGCATAAAAATATAAAATAAGACAATAATAAAAATGCATTTAAGCTAAATAATCAAGGTCACAGCAACTAAGTAATGCAAGTGTTAAAAGCCAGTGAATAAAAGTGCATTTTTAGCCGTGATTAAAACTTTGGCAGTGAAGGAGCCTCCCTAATGTGCAGAGGGAGGCTATTGCATAAAAAAGGAGCAGTCATAGAGAAGCCTGTTGCCCCTCTGAGCTTCCGTTTAAACCTCTGTACCTGCAGGAGCTGCTGTTCTGCAGACATGGGAGACCAAGGAGGCATGTAGCAGGGAAGAAGCTAATATAAGTTATTTTATTCATTTATTCTTGTCTTTTTAAGAGTTAAATCCATGTTTGGGAAGCATGCAGATGAATGAAGCTTAATTATAACTCATTTACAAGTCATATAAACAAATATAATACCAGTGGGGATGTGGCAAGAAAAAAAAACTAGATGTTTAAAACCAAGATGACTGCTCTGAATAAACAAACATGAAGCCGCCAAACTAATGAAAGATAAGTTGTATAAATGAGGAATTGGAGCCTTGGAGGCTAGCTAAATCTGTAGGTGTCTGACAACACATTTCTCCAAGTGATTCATTGTCCTCCTCATGTTTTCTGCTGTCTTTATGCAGATGCTGCATCTTACTCGAGCTGACTCAGACTCCCTCGCAGACAGCAGAGCTTGCCAACAGCTACCACACACAAACGCTCAAACAATGAAGAAGCAGTGAAAAAAAAAAAGCAAGACAGAACACGTTCCTCAAATAGATATTCCGTACCAAAAGATTGCTGCGCAAAGGTTTGATCTCTGCTGGGGTTTTTTGGGCTTTAATTTTAGTGAAGGATATTTTTATCGTTTAAGAGCTCCCTGCTTTCAGCAGATGTAAACTAGAACAAAGAAGTGCATCCTTGACCTCACATGGATAACTGGAGATTTTTTTTTTTTGCTCAGCATGCAGCTGTGGAAGCCATGAAGGCTCTGCAGCCAAAAACAAAAGGCTTTTACTTCAGTTTCAACACCGTGTCCTGAATTGGGTCCCAGGGGGGAAAAGTAGGATGAAATACAGGATTCCTATAAGTCAGCTTCGTTCAAACAGATGTATGAAGGTCTGCTTTTGCCATCCAGCTGCAAACGGTCGAGCCACCTAAGGATCCGAGACCTTACATCATCGCTGAGGGAAACTGTGAAGCTGTGAAATTAGAAGGTTTGTTAGTGGTATTATATGTGGTGAAGTAACATTGGAATCCTCCCAGGAAAATGGGACCGGATTCTTCCCTGCACCCTGGATTATCGGTCTCACGTCTGGAAATGATTCCAAAAAAGAGAGGAAAGGTCTGCAGAGTTTATTAAAGGTTGCAGGCAAATGAATGGAAACTCTGTCGACCCTGTAATACAGCTGACTTTTATTCTAAGTGCCAGAATGCCTGGGTGAATTATACTATGGCAATGCAGCAAATAAACAGACTGTTCCTCTACCTCGGTGCATGCCATGCACAGTACTTGCATCAGTGCTATTCTGCAGAGGAACTGGCAGCATCTCATGCATTATCCCACAACAAAGCAAACACAAAAATCCCTTTTAGGAACAAGCAGAGGCTGAATATAAAGCTCAGTTCAGAGATTTCAAAAGGTCTAAGGTGTAAAGTTGGATTTAAAGATTACCATGCTGTTCAGAAAAGGAGATCTTCGCTCATCGGAGGAGTGTCTAGTGCAGTTGGGTTTGTCTGCATCATTTCCTGTGCACTAGATACAGACAGTCACAAAATATGTTTTTATTACACTATACAGGTGCTGGTCATAAAATTAGAATATCATGAAAAAGTAGATTGATTTCAGTAATTCCATTTAAAAAGTGAAACTTGTATATTATATTCATACATTACATACAAACTCATATATTTCAGATGTTTATTTTGTTTAATTTTGATGATTACAAATGACAACAAATGAAAATCTCAAATTCATCATATCAGAAAATTAGAATATTACTGAAGACCAATAAAAACAAAGGATTTATAGAAATGTTGGCCAACTGAAAAGTATGAACATGAAAAGTATGAGCATGTACAGCACTCAGTATTTAGTTGGGCCTCCTTTGGCCTGTATTACTGCAGCAATGCGGCGTGGCATGGAGTCGATCAGTCTGTGGCACTGCTCAGGTGTTATGATAGCCCAGGTTGCTCTAATAGTGGCTTTTAGCTCTTCTGAATTGTTGGGTCTGGTGTATTGCATCTTCTTCTTCACAATACCCCATAGATTTTCTATGGGGTTAAGGTCAGGAGAGTTTGCTGGCCAATTAAGAACAGGGATACCATGGTCCTTCAACCAGGTACTGGTAGCTTTGGCACTGTGTGCAGGTGCCAAGTCCTGTTGGAAAATGAAATCTGCATCTCCAAAAAGTTGGTCAGCTGCAGGAAGCATGAAGTGCTCTAAAACTTCCTGGTATGTGGCTGCGTTGACCCTGGACCTCAGAAAACACAATGGACCAACACCAGCAGATGACATGGCACCCCAAACCATCACTGACTGTGGAAACTTTACACTGGACTTCAAGCAACGTGGATGAAGTGCCTCTCTTCTTTTCCTCCAGACTCTGGGACCTTGATTTCCAAAGGAAATGCAAAATTTACTTTCATCAGAGAACATGACTTTGGACCACTCACCAGCAGTCCAGTCCTGTTTCTCTTTAGCCCAGGCAAGACGCTTCTGACGCTGTCTGTGGTTCAAGAGTGGCTTGACACAAGGAATGCGACAGCAGAAACCCATGTCTTTCATACGTCTGTGTGTGGTGGTTCTTGAAGCACTCACTCCAGCTGCAGTCCACTCTTTGTGAATCTCCCCCACATTTTTGAATGGGTTTTGTTTCACAATCCTCTCCAGGGTGCGGTTATCTCTCTTGCTTGTACACTTTTTTCGACCACATCTTTTCCTTCCCTTCGCCTCTATTAATGTGCTTGGACACTGAGTTCTGTGAACAGCCAGCCTCTTTAGCGATGACCTTTTGTGTCTTGCCCTCCTTGTGCAAGGTGTCGATGGTCGTCTTTTGGACAACTGTCAAGTCAGCAGTCTTCCCCATGATTGTGTAGCCTATAGAACTAGACTGAAAGACCATTTAAAGGCTTTTGCAGGTGGTTTGAGTTAATTAGCTGATTAGAGTGTGGCACCAGGGGCCATCAATTTTGAACCTTTTCACAATATTCTAATTTTCTGATATGATGAATTTGAGATTTTCATTTGTTGTCATTTGTAATCATCAAAATTAAACAAAATAAACATCTGAAATATATGAGTTTGTATGTAATGTATGAATATAATATACAAGTTTCACTTTTTAAATGGAATTACTGAAATCAATCTACTTTTTCATGATATTCTAATTTTATGACCAGCACCTGTATATTTAAATTTAAAACATTATGATCAGAGTTTAAAAAGTTTAAAAACTTGTTTTAGCTATTTATCGTTTCCAACTCAACAAATAACAGTAGAGCAGATGTGTTTGAATAGGATGGATTATATTTTATATGTATGAATTATAAGCTAATGCATCAAAAAAGTGTCTAAATTTAAGTTTGTATTCAGCTTTTGGCAACATCATCAAACTTGCTTGCTAGCTATCCTTCCTTCCTTCCTTCCTTCCTTCCTTCCTTCCTTCCTTCCTTCCTTCCTTCCTTCCTTCCTTCCTTCCTTCCTTCCTTCCTTCCTTCCTTCCTTCCTTCCTTCCTTCCTTCCTTCCTTCCTTCCTTCCTTCCTTCCTTCCTTTAAAAAAAAAACAAAAAAAAAAACGTTAGCCTAATTTTGGGTAACAACGTTAGCCAGTAGCGTAAGCTGTAAAACCTTTAAGAAAATACATTATCAGACAATTTAGACATTTTGTCTCAAAATTGAGCTTTTATTTTGTTTTTCTTCGCTGCAACATACTTGAATAAAACTCCTTCAATTCTGCTGTTGCTTTTGATGTTTTTGGGCGCCATTTAATAATTTCAAAGTGGCCCTCCTCCATTAACAACTTTCTGGAACCCCTCCTGTAGAAATGATTGATTAAAATCTACCACTTAAAATATATACTAAACCATGCATTAGTTTTACTTAGTAACCTCTACCAGTTTGTTTATGAATAATTTACAACATAAATAACAGTAACAGGTTGACATGTAATGCTCTCATTGCAGGAAGCAGGGAGAGGGGCCATTGATTCTGGGAACCCTAGTTTAAATAAATATGTTATATATTCCCAGATATAAGGCACAAATGTCTAATTTCTGTAAATCTAAACACAGCCTAGCTGGAAGCAGCAGGTGGTGTGTTGATCTACACGCAGACAGGGTGCAGATTGAGGTGAATGATCATAAAAAACACTGAACTGAAGGTCTGTTAGCCATGAGATAGAAAAATAGCTCACCCCCTCAAAAAGTTATTTTTAACAGGGAAAATAGGAGCAGGAATAACAAAGCCAGACAGCATGAGCCAGACCCTTACTTCCTGTTTTTCTTTTTTTAAGAGCCCACTCTGTCTGTTGGAGTTCTGCCAACCAGGGAATAATGGGGAACCAGCTGACCTTACATACAAAGAGCAATGATCTGCAGATTGAGCCAAATCATCCTGAAGAGGGTTTCATTTTCCAAAAAGTAGTCAGCAGAGTAATCAATTCTACCATTAGTTGTAATCAACTTTAGTTTCTAAAAAGAAATCCTAAACCCTATTAAACAGAACAATAACAGACTGCAGTAAATGCAAAAATAATCTATGAAATATACATGAGGGGAATCAATAATACAGCTCGCGCTATCATGAAAGCCACTGAGTGAAATAATTATATTTTAATGAGCTAATCAAGCAAGTCTACTTTCCACGTTTTTTTAAGCTGATTTTTACAGCCTTACCTTGTCAGGGTCAGGTTCCTTTCTTAATCCCTTATTTCTTATCTTTTCCCCTCCATAAAGAGGTAAGGCCAGGCAGAAGAGAAGGAGCAGGCGGCTCACCAGAGGAGACATCCTTCCAGTGGTGACAGGCGAGTAAGTGTGAGCTGTGTGAGAGAGAGATGAGAAGCAACAGTCCGGAGGCCGGAGGAGGAGGAGGAGGGCAGGCCAACAGGGAAGGAGCCAGTCAGCGTGCAGAAGGAGCTAAAGAAAACATCCCAGTTGGATCTGAAGGGGCACAGTGTGTCCACTCTGTGGAGATCTAATAGGACTGCACTGTTAAAAAAACTGTTATAACAGAAAGAAAAAAAGGTACATGTGTTTCAATGCTCTATTTTTATTTTATTTTAACAGATAAAAGTTTAAAACTCTGGAGTCTGACTTTGATACAACAGCCATGTTCAAGTCTTTCCACATACTCTTTATCAGATATTGGTTTGGACTTTGACTAGGACGTTCTGTAATACAGTATGAATATGCTTTATTCCAAACCAACACAGTGCTGCTTTGTTTGTGTTTAAGGTGACCATATACTCTAACTTCAATCATAAAAAAAACTGTTTCATAACCATTACTGCAGCTGTGAGCACTAAGCGACTATATTGTTGTTAATACCCATAGCATAATGCTACCACCATTGTGTTCCATCAAGGGGATGATGTCAGTTTTCCAACACACTTAAGATTGTCTTTATCCACTTGTCTCATCTAACAAGGCCATTGTCGGCAAAGGCTTTCAGCAAATTGGGTAATGGAATTTTTTATGCTTTCTTTCTGTTTCCTCTTTAATGAAGCTTAAGCAAAAATTAAATCTGACTCTTACCAGCTTCACCTGGATCCCTTGCTCAAGCTTCAGCCAATCAATGTCAGGACAGCGGCTCCTCCAAAGCTAATCATCTTTCATGATCCCCTTCATGTAACTCCTGGCCTTTTCTCCCTCCCTCACACCACCAAACTTTCACCCCACCTCCGCCCCGTCTCCTCCCAGGCCGAATCCCAAACCGCTCCCTAACCACTAACACTTAACTATCATGTCTCATTCGCAATGAAGTCAAATCTTGCAGCTGTGGAAGGAGCCTTGATTAAAGCTCTGTGTGTGTGTGTGTGTGTGTGTGTGTGTGTGTGTGTGTGTGTGTGTGTGTGTGTGTGTGTGTGTGTGTGTGTGTGTGTGTGTGTGTGTGTGTGTGTGTGTGTGTGTGTGTGTGTGTAGGAAGGGGAAAATAAAGCAGTCGTCACTAAGTCAACACAGTGACGCCCCATGTGCTTTGCTGTAGCTCTGCACTGGAAAAAAAACTAAATATAGATGAGTATTTTTTTCTTAAAATAAGTGCATTTGTTCTTGAATTGAGGATATAAAAGACAATTTTTGCCAAAGGAACAAAACAAATTTACATTTAAAATAAGAAAACGCAATTGCATTGTCTTATTTCAAGTGTATTTTATTTAAATATCTTGTTTTAAGAGTAAAAATACTAATTCCATTGGCCAATCATCTCATTTATCTACTCAAAACAAGGGTAAATACACTATTTCTAGATTGTTTTTCCAGTGTGAGGTGCAGGATGACCTAAAATACAACATTTGCCCCTGTCTTAATACCAGTGTATATAGTCAAAACTATTTGAAAGGGGACCTTTCATTTTGGAATTGATTATGTTTTTTTTCCCTTATACCTAACTTGTGGGTTTTTTTTGTCAGACTGGTGGCAAACTGGTGGAACTCACATTTAAAGTAATGGGGAAGTCATATTTAAAAGTCAAATCATTCTGGCTTAAACATGTATATAAATGTACTCTTTATCAGACAATATTGTACCAAAATATAGAAAATTTCTACTTAAAAAAAAAATCCTGTCTTAAAATCTGTGGGGGGGGTTTTTCGTTATCCTATGCAGGTCAGTTAGTTATACGTCAGCCTCAACACCTAAATTCCGCCAATCATATATCAACGGTCATCTGTCATCAATTTTTTTGCGGTCATAGCATCTTGATTCATATGTCGCAGTTAATATACGCAACGGCTGAAATAAGAATAATTTACTTTCCCATTGAGTTCCGTCCCAGTGTTCACGGGGATGGACATCTGTGTCTTCAGCAGGCGTAGAGCTAACAGAACTGGCAGCGTTGCGAGGCAAGGGCTCAAACATGTACGGCTGTGAGCCTTCTACACCAAACCAAGCTTCTGCCGCCCTGGCGTCCTCTTCCACAACATCTTCGTCCCCGCTCTCCTCCTCTAAATAAAAAATGTATGACAAAGAAGACTCATCCACGACCTTCGACACAAAACTCTCCTCGTCTTGCATGTTTCCGCTGTCCATAGCGTTCCTTGACAGTGTCGTTTCTAAGTGACCAATTTAGTGCTACTTGGTCCCAATGGAATTTCCCATTGGGAACCTACTAGCACTAAGTTGCTAACTGATTAGCAAGATGCTTCAAAGAAAACGGCTACAATCAAACTTGCTTCCAAACCTACCACAACATCCCCACTCTCTTGAGAAATGACCAATAACATTCACTTTATTCACTCGTGTTAAGTCGTGCACCACTCGGGAGAATTCAGAAATGTGACAGTTGGAACAGCCATTTCCGTATGACTTTAAATCCACACATTTCCTCCACCATCGAGCTACTGTTACACCTGCTTCCAAATTTCAGCGAGCCTGCAACTGATGCAGACTCGCTTTAGGGGCAGAACAGTCCACTCGCCCTACCCACAAGGGGGCTTGGGATGGCACTTAATGTGGCTGACCCTCTCTGGGAACGCGCAAACAGAGGGTGCTTAGGCGCCTGTTTGGGATTGGGCCGCAGACTATTGTCAGTCCCATTCACCCTCAGGCTTACAGTATTCCATCACCGGTGTCCGGGCCCCAGGGGGGATAGCAACTCTAAACCTTTTCCTCGGTTACTTATCTAAGCAAATGTTGATTCACAGCATCTGCCTCCTGCCAGGGTCCAAGCACCAAAAAACTTATTTCATTTATGTCATTAAAACTTCTCTTGAATTCATTTTTGGAAGCACAAACCTAATAAGGTTCCTTTTGAACAATCCTACCTCTCTAAAGCAGTCCTCTTAGCTTAACTTTTGCTTCAAGTTTCCTTGTTTAGTTTGTGAGTTTAGGAGGACACCCCTTATATATTATTTACTGTGCCTTACTTCTTTACTTGTTTGAACAGACTAAGGAAGTGTTCTGTGTTATGTTTTAAAAGTTGGGATTTTGTTTATAAAACAACCTTGACATTTATATACGGGTATCAATATAAAACTGTACATGGTATACATTTTAAAGAGTCAAAAAACACTGATCCCTTTTTCCTTCCGATTTGTGCTGAAGTATCATAAAGTCTCAGTAAAATACATGGACTCACGATGGGAGAAAAATGTACTTTTTTATTCAAAACTTCATAAAAATGATCACAATAAAAAACTACAAAGAGAAAGATACAAAAACTGACTGTGGAAACAAAATAGACAATCTGAGACTACAGAAGGCACATTGTAATCCACACATATTATCCAGTGACAAAAATATAAAATAAAACACTTAATGACACAGTTTCCCTTTTAAGTTGTGATTCTTGAAATTTCTTTTAACCCCAAGAATAAAACAACAAAATTCAAAGACAGATGCAGCATTTAAGCATTTTCATGTGCAAAAACAAGTTGAGATAATTCATGTGTGACCTAAACATGAACACTAAGATACAAGCAGACTCTGGGAATGCTTATTTACACAGGACATGTTTAAAATGTATCAGTAGTATACAGACTATAGAAAACCTTCATAGGTTGAATATCATTTCTTCTGCTTAGTTTGTTCTTAAGATAACAAATAAAAGCTTTTTTTTACTAAATTGTTTGTGAACGAAACATCAAACTTCTTTTATCCTCTGAAAGGCTCCCAAAGTCTGTAATAAATGTAGGAAGTGCGTTCCTAGATAAAACATTGCTCAGGGCGTCAAACGTTTGGCCAGGCCTGCACACACTTGTGTCCATAAAACATTGCTGGTATTTTTCTATCACTCAGTATTTAGTGGTTTGTGCTTTAAGTGCAAAATACCTGCTTGATTAAGTTTGAGTTTTTACACAACAGTAATTCAACCAAGTTCTTTCAATATGTCTTTAAAGATAGAGTGAAAATAAAAACATGACGAAAAGTTCAGAAAAGACAATAAAAAACTAGAGCCTTCTCAAAATGTCTTTACGTGTTTTAAGTATTTCAAGTTTAACGACATCTTTAAAGAGTGGTGCATACCTTGGTCTCGTATCAAACTTTATATCTAAACAGCAGTGATAAGACTTCTAAAGACACAACGGCGCCTTTTGGGTTGAATGTTTGGTGACGTCATAAAAACACTTTATAATATCCAGTGTGTTGACCAGTAGAAAAATATACAGTAGAAAAAAATACAAATATAAACACATGCTGCAATTTTTTTTGAAGGATTTAAATACCACTTCACAAAAAACTCTAAAAAGGTACTCATAATGGAAGTAGTATTCTTAATTGACCATTGGTAGTAGCATGGTGGGTTCTTTAACATTCAGACTAACCCATCAGTAAAGCTGGAAAACCCAAACACACAAAACGGCAGGAAACTTCAGCAGCTGCAGTCTAAATCCTACAGATTCTGGGCAAACAACCCATATATGAAACACCTGATGGGTTTTTAGGACTTTCACTGCCTACAGAGGTGTTTGACACATCGTCAACTGTTTCTGGATATTAGCCTGGGCAGGATCATTTGGGATTTTTACATTTCCTTTGGGTCCTTGCTCTCCTCGAGCACCGTGTCTGCTGTCTGGAGTGCGGGGTCCAGGATGCTGCTGCTGCTGTGTGATGGGTTTACACCTGGACGCTGCTGCTGCTGTCCACTCGTAGCTTGTCTAGTGTCCGACAGCTCGCTCCATGGAGTCATTCTACAACAGAAAGACAGCGCTTTAATTTAAACTATGGTAACAATCAAGTAATAAAAAATAAAAAGAGACTGTTATATTTTATATTATATATATATTTTTATATTTAAAGACTGTTTTCAAAGTAACTGTGATTTTAACCTGCAGAGACACGGCTCTTCAAGGCTAACATTTCAATTAGAATAGGCATAATTTAAATGTACATTTATAATGAAA